TGGGGGGAAGGAAAAACACGGGAGTAAAAAAGCCTTTGTTTAAACAATGTGAAAAGGGGGAGGAAGGGTGATAACACGGGGAGTAAAAAAAGTATTAAAAAGTGAAAAGGCAGGAAAGTGTTTGACACGGGGATAAAAAAAAGCCTCCCTTTGAAACGAAAGCTAAAAGGCAGGAAAGTTTATATGACACGGGGGTAAAAAAAACCTACTTTTTAAAGAAAGCCAAGGGCGGGGAAAATTTTATATAGCCGGGGAAAAAACCTACTTTAAAAGAAAGCCGAAAAAGGCAAGGAAAATGAAAGACACGGGGGGAAAATATTTTTTGAAAGAAAGCTGAAAAGGCAAGGAAAGGATATAACAGGGGGTAAAATAGCCTACTTTAAAAGATGCTGAAAGGAGGGAAAAGGTAAGAACGGGAGAAAATAGCCTACTTTTTAAAGAAAGTGAAAAGGCGAGGAAAGTTTATATAGACAGGGGAAAAAAAAGCCTACTTTAAAAAGTCCAAATGGGGGAAAATTTATAGAACGGGGGAAAATAGCTACTTTAAAACGAAAGCTGAATGGCAGGAAAGGATATAAACGGGGGAAATAGCTGTTTGAAAAATGCTTTGGGGAAAAAGGTGATATGAAGGAAAAAATTTTAAAAGGTTTGCCCGGGGGGTTGCAGGGGGAAAAAACCGGAAAAAAGGAAAAGGCGATTAAGGGTTTGACACGGGAGAAAATTGCCTCCTTTGAAACGAATGCTGAAAAGGGGAAAGGGGAAAATTGATGTAGACACAGATAAATAGCCTCACGTTTGAAAACGAATGCCGAAATGGCAACGGAAAGTTGATATAGACACGGGGTAAAATAAGACTTTATAATTTGAAATAGATGCTGCAATGGCGATGGAGAGTTGATATAGACACAGGGAGCAAAAAATATTGTACTTGAAATAATGCTGCAAATGGCGATGGAGAGGTGATATAGACACGGGAGTAAAATAGACTTGTAATTGGAAAACAGATGCTGCAATGGCGATGGAGAGGTGAAATATAGACGGAATTAAAAATAGCCTTGTACTTGAAATAGATGCTGCAATGGCGATGGAAAATAGACTTGCAGGGGGTAAAAAGCAGCCTTGTACTTGAAATAGATGCTGCAATGGCGATGGAGGTGATAGACACGGGGAGTAAAATATAGACAATGGCGAGCAAATAGACCTTGTACCTGGAAACAGATGCTGCAATGGCGATGGAGAATTGATATAGACACGGGAGTAAAATAGCCTTGTACTTGAAAATAGATGCTGCTATGGCGATGGAGATATAGAGGTGATATAGACACGGGAGTAAAATAGCCTAAAATGTACTTGAAATAGATGCTGCAATGGCGATGGAGAGGTGATATAGACACGGCAAAAAATAGCCTTGTACTTGAAATAGATGCTGCAATGGCGATGGAGGAGGTGATAGACACGGGGTAAAAATAGCCTTGTACTTGAAATAGATGCTGCAATGGCGATGGAAGGTGATAGACACGGGAGTAAAATAATATTACTTGATAGATGCTGCAATGGCGATGAGAGGTGATATAGACACGGAATCAAAACAGCCTTGTGCTTGAAATAGATGCTGCAATGGCGATGGAGAGGTGATATAGACACGGGAGTAAACACAGGAAATAGATGCTGCAATAGGGGATGGAAATATTAAAATAGCCTTTGTACTTGAAATAGATGCTGCAATGGCGATGGAGAGGTGATATAGACACAGGGTAAAATAGCCTTGTACTTGAAATAGATGCCCAATGGCGATGGAGAGTGATATAGACACGGGAGTAAAATAGCCTTGTACTTGAAATAGATGCAATGGCGAAGGATATAGACACGGGAGCAAAAGGCCTTGTACTTGAAATAGACACGAATTAGAACGGGGAGCAACAGCCTTGTACTTGAAATAGATGCTGCAATGGCGATGGAGAGGTGATATAGACACGGGAGTAAAATAGCCGTACTTGAAATAGATTCTGCAATGGCGATGGAGAGGTGATATAGACACAGGCAAAAATAGCCTTGTACCTGAAATAGATGCCTAAAATGGCGATGGAGAGGTGATATGAACACGGGAGTAAAATAGCCGTGTACTTGAAATAGATGCTGCAATGCGATGGTGATATAGACACGGGAGCCTTACTTGAAATAGATGCTGCGAATGGTTGATGGAAGGTGATATAGACCTAAAATAGCCTTGTACTTGAAATAGATGCTGCAATGGCGATGGAGAGGTGATATAGACACGGGAGCAAAATAGCCTTTGTACCTGAAATAGATGCTGCAATGGCGATGGAGAGGATATAGACACGGGTAAAAAATAGCCTTTGTGCTGAAACAGATGGCAATGGGAGGTGATATAGACACGGGAGCAAAATAGCTTATACTGAAATAGATGCTGCAATGGCGATGGAGAGGTGATATAGACACCGGGAGTAAAATAGCCTTATTACTTGAAATAGATGCTGCAATGGCGATGGAGAGGTGATATAGACACAGGCAAAAAATAGCCTTGTACTTGAAATAGATGCTGCAATGGCAATGGCGATGGAAATGATAGACACGGGAGTAAAATAGCCTTGTATACTTGAAATAGATGCTGCAATGGCGATGGAAGGTGATATAGACACGGACACAGGGCAAATACATGGAAAATAGCCTTAGCCTACTCTGAAATAGATGCTGCAATGGCGATGGAGAGGTGATATAGACACGGGAATTAAACAGCCTTGTACTCTGAAAATAGATGCCGCAATGGCGATGGAGAGGTGATATAGACACGGGAGCAAAATAGCCTTGTGCTCCTGAAACAGATGCTGCAATGGCGATGGAGAGGTGATATAGACACGGGAGTAAAATAGCCTTGTTCTGGAAATACGCTGCAATGGCGATGGAGAGGTGATATAGACACGGGAGTAAAATAGCCTTGTACTTGAAATAGATGCTGCAATGGCGATGGAGAGGTGATATAGACACGGGAGTAAAATAGACTTGTAATTGAAATAGATGCTGCAATGGCGATGGAGAGGTGATATAGACACGGGAGTAAAATAGACTTGTACTTGAAATAGATCTGCAATGGCGATGGAGAGAATTGATAGACACGGGAGTAAAAAGCCTTGTACTTGAAATAGATGCTGCAATGGCGATGAGAGGTGATATAGACACGGGAGTAAAATAGCCTTGTATTTGAAATAGATGCTGCAATGGCGATGGAGAGGTGATAGACACGGAGTAAAAATAGATGCTGCAATGGCGACGTGAGAGGATAGAAATAGATGCTGACACGAATGGCTATACAGGGAAAGGTGGATATAGACACACAGGAAATAGAAAACGGAGACTGATGCACGGGAGCAAACAAGATGCTTGAAATGGCGCTATGGCGAGGAGAGGAAATAGACACGTAAAATAGCCTTGTACTCTGAAATAGGTGTGCAATGGCGATGGAGAGGTGATATAGACACGGGACAAAAACAGCCTTGTACTTGAAATAGATGCTGCAATGGCGATGGAGAGGTGATATAGACACGGGAGTAAAATAGCCTTGTACTTGAAATAGATGCTGCAATGGCGATGGAGAGGTGATATAGACACGGGAGTAAAATAGCCTTGTACTTGAAATAGATGCTGCAATGGCGATGGAGAGGTGATATAGACACGGGAGTAAAATAGCCTCACGTTTGAAACGAATGCTGCTATGGCGAGGGAAAGTTGATATAGACACGGGAGTAAAATAGACTTGTACTTGAAATAGATGCTGCAATGGCGACGGAGAGGTGATATAGACACGGGAGTAAAATAGCCTTATTATTTGAAATAAGATGCTGCTATGGCGACGAGAGGTGAGACACACGGAGTAAAATAACCTTGTACTCGGAAATAGATGCTGCAATGGCGATGGAGAGGTGATGGAGCAAAATACGTTTGACACGAATGCTGCTATACAGGGAAAAATAGACACCAAAATTCTACTTGAAATAGATGCTGCAATGAGACGGAGAGGTGATATAGACGGGAGCAAACAAGGTACTTGAAATAGACACGAGGGGAAATAAAATAGCCTTGTACTCTGAAATAGGTGCTGCAATGGCGATGGAGAGGTGATATAGACACGGGAGCAAAAACAGCCTTGTACTTGAAATAGATGCCGCAATGGCGATGGAGAGGTGATATAGACACGGGAGTAAAATAGCCAGAAAATAGATGCCGCAGTGGCGATGGAGAGGTGATATAGACACGGGAGTAAAATAGCCTTGTAATTTTTGAAACAGATGCTGCAATGGCGATGGAGAGGTGATATAGACACGGGAGTAAAATAGCCTTGTAATTGAAATAGATGCTGCAATGGCGATGGAGAAAGAAATATAGACAACGGGGCAAAATAGCCTTGTACTTGAAATAGATGCCGCAATGGCGATGGAGAGGTGATAGACAACGGGGTAAAATAGCCTTTGTACTTGAAATAGATGCTGCAATGGCGATGGAGAGGTGATATAGACACGGGAGTAAATAGCCTTGTATTGGAAATAGATGCTGCAATGGCGACGGAGAGGTGATATAGACACGGGAGTAAAATTGCCCACGTTTGAAATGAATGCTGCAATGGCGACGGAAGGTGATATAGACACGGGAGTAAAATAACCTTGTACTTGAAATAGATGCTGCAATGGCGACCGGAGAGGCGATATAGACACGGAGTAAAATAGCCTTGTACTTGAAATAGATACTGCAATGGCGAGGGAGAGTGATATATGAACACGGGAGCAAAATAGCCTTGTACTTGAAATAGATGCTGCAAATGGCGACGGAGAGGTGATATAGACACAGGAGTAAAATAGCCTTGTGCTTGAAATAGATGCTGCAATGGCGATGGAGAGGGTGATATTGACACGGGGTAAAATAACCTTGTACTCTGAAAGTAGATGCTGCAACGGCGATGAGAGGTGATATAGACACGGGGAGTAAATAGCCTTGTACTTGAAACAGATGCTGCAATGGCGAATGATATAGACACGGAGTAAAAATAGCCTTGAAATAGATGCTGTGATGAGAGGTGATATAGACACGGGAGTAAAAATAGCCTTTGTACTTTGAAATAGATGCTGCAATGGCGATGGAGAGGTGATATAGACACGGGAGTAAAATAGCCTTGTACTTGAAATAGATGCTGCAATGGCGATGGAGAGGTGATATAGACACGGGGCAAAATACCTTATTACTTGAAATAGATGCTGCAATGGCGATGGAGAGGTGATATAGACACGGGAGTAAAAATAGCCTTGTACTCTGAAATAGATGCTGCAATGGCGACGGAGAGGTGACATAGACACGGGAGCAAAATAGCCTTGTAATGAAATAGATTCTGCAATGGCGACGGAGAGGGTGATATCGACACGGGAGTAAAATAGCATTGTACTTGAAATAGATGCCGCAATGGCGATGGAGAGGTGATGATATAGACACGAGTAAAATAGCCTTTGTACTTGAAATAGATGCTGCAATGGCGACGGAGAGGAAGATATAACAGGGAGTAAAATAGCCTTGTACTTGAAATAGATGCTGCAATGGCGATGGAGGTGATATAGACACGGGATGGAAAATAGCCTTTGTACTTGAAATAGATGCTGCAATGGCGACGGATGGAGGTGATATAGACACGGGAGTAAAAATAGCCTTGTACTTGAAATAGATGCTGCAATGGCGACGGGAGGTGATATTGACACGGGGAGTAAAATAGACTTGTAATTGAAATAGATGCTGCAATGGCGATGAGAGGTGATATATGAGCAAATTAAAAGCCTGGTACTTGAAATAGATGCTGCAATGGCGACGGAGAGGTGATATAGACACGGGAGTAAAATAGCCTTGTAATTGAAATATGCTGCAATGGCGATGGAGAGGTGATATAGACACGGGAGTAAAAGTTAGCCTTATTACCTAGGAAATAGATGCTGCAATGGCGACGGAGAGGGTGATATGAACACGGAGCAAAATAGCCTTGTACCTGAAATAGATGCTGCAATGGCGATGGAGAGGTGATATAGACATTTAAAAAATAGCCAAATTGTACTATGAAATAGATTGCCTCGTTTGAAACAATGGCGATGGAGGGTTGATATAGACACGGGGTAAAATAGACTTGTACTTGAAATAGATGCTGCAATGGCGATGGAGAGGTGATATAGACACGGGAGTAAAAATAGCCTTATGTACTTGAAATAGATGCTGTATGGCGATGGAGAGGTGAAATAGACACGGGGTAAAATAGCCTTGTACTTGAAATAGATGCTGCAATGGCGATGGAGAGGTGATAGACACGGGAGTAAAATAGCCTTGTACTTGAAAATAGATGCAAGAGCGATGAGAGGTTATAGACACGGGGTAAATATTGTGTACTTGAAATAGATGCTGCTTATGATGGAGAGGTGATATAGACACGGGAGTAAAATAGCCTTTGTACTTGAAATAGATGCTGCAATGAAGATGGAGAGGTGATATAGGACACGGGAGAAAAATAGACATGTAATTGAAATAGATGCTGCAATGGCGATGGAGGATATAGACACGGGAGTAAATAGCCTTTGTGCCTTGAACAGAGGCCGCAATGGCGATGAGAGGTGATATAGACACGGAGTAAAATAGGCCTTGTACTCTGAAATAGATGCTGCAATGGCGATGGAGAGACATAGACACGGCGCGAAATTGTACTTGAAATAGATGCTGCAATGGCGATGGAGAGGTGATATAGACACGGGAGTAAAATTGCCTCACGTTTGAAACGAATGCTGCTATGGCGAGTGGAAGTTGATATAGACACGGGAGCAAAACAGACTGTACTCAAACATTAACACATGAGAGGTGATACAGACACGGGAGTAAAATACTGTACGAAATGATGCTGCCATGGCGAGGAGAGGAAATAGACACGGGAGCAAAATAGCCTTGTACTCAGAAACAGGAAGCTGCAAATGGCGATGGAGAGGCATACGAGCAAAATAGCCTTGTACCCCTGTTAGATGCTGCAATGGCGATGGAGAGGTGATATAGACACGGGAGCAAAATAGCCTTGTACTTGGAAATAGATGCTAAATATGATGGAGAGGTGATATAGACACGGGAGCAAACAGCCTGCAGTACTTGAAACAGATGCTGCAAATGGCGATGGAGAGGTGATATAGACACGGGAGCAAAAATAGCCTTGTACTTGAAATAGATGCCGCAATGGCGATGGAGGTGATATAGACACGGAAGCAAACAGCCTTGTACTTGAAACAGATTCAAATGGCGATGGAGAGGTGATATAGGACACGGGAGTAAAATAGCCTTGTACTTGAAATAGATGCTGCAATGGCGATGGAGAGGTGATATAGACACGGGAGCAAACAACTTATGCTGCTATGGCGACTTGAAATAAGATTGCCTCACGTTTGAAACGGAATGAAGATGGAGAGTTGATATAGACACGGAGCAAAATAGACTTGTACTTGAAATAGATGCTGCAATGGCGATGGAGAGGCGATATAGTAAACAGTTTTGGACTTGAAATAGATGTTGCTATGGATTAGTGAAATAGATGTTGTAAAATGGCGACGGACTTGATATAGACAATGGGGAGATAGACACGGGAGTAAAATAGAATTTATTTGAAATAGATGCTGCAATGGCGATGGGAGAGGTGATATAGACAATGGAGCAAAATAGCATTGTACTTGGAAATAGATGCTGCAATGAAGATGGAGAGGTGATAGACACGGGAGTAAAATAGCCTTGTACTTGAAATAGATGCTGCAATGGCGATGGAGAGGTGATATAGACACGGGAGTAAAAAGCCTTTGTACTTGAAACAGATACTGCAATGGCGACGGAGGAGGATATAGACACGGGAGCAAAACAGCCTTTGTACTTGAAATAGATGCTGCAATGGCGACGGAGAGATAGGTGACACGGGAGTAAAATAGCCTTTACTTGAAATAGATGCCGCAATGGCGACGGAGAGGTGATACAGACACGGGAGTAAAATAGCCTTGGTACTTGAAATAGATGCCGCAATGGCGACGGAGAGGTGATATAGACACGGGAGTAAAAATAGCCTTTGTACTTGAAATAGATGCTGCAATGGCGACGGAGAGGTGATATTGACACGGGAGTAAAATAGCCTTGTACTTGAAATAGATGCTGCAATGGCGATGGAGAGGTAGACACGGAGTAAAAATAGACACGGGACCAAAATAGACACTTGTACTTGAAATAGATGCTGCAATGGCGACGGGAGACGGGACCAAATAGCCTTTGATGAAATAGACACGGAGAGGGGACACGAGTAAAATAGCCTTTGTACTTGAAATAGATGCTGCAATGGCGATGAGAGGTGATATAGACACGGGAGTAAAATAGCCTTTACCAATGGAAATAGATGCTGCAATGGCGATGGAGGGTGATATAGACACGGGAGTAAAACAGCCTTGTACTTGAAATAGATTCTGCTATATGATGGAGAGGGTGATATCGACACGGAGCAAAAACAGTCCACTTGAAAATAGATGCAGATGCTATGGCGATGGAGAGGTGATGACACGGAGCAAAATAGCCTCAGGCTGAAACAGATGCCGCAAATGGCGATGGAGAGTAAGATAGACACGGGAGCAAATAGCCTTGTACTTGAAATAGATGCTGCAATGGCGATGGAGAGGTGATATAGACACGGGAGTGTAGCCTTTGTACTTGAAATAGATGCTGCTGGCGATGGAGAGGGATATAGACACGGGGAGCAAAACAGCCTTGTACTTGAAATAGATGCTGCAATGGCGATGGAGAGGTGATATAGACACGGGAGTAAAATAGACTTGTAATTGAAATAGATGCCGCAATGGCGATGGAGAGTTGGATACAGACACGGGAGTAAAGCAGCCTTGTACTTGAAATAGATGCTGCAATGGCGATGGAGAGGTGATATAGACACGGGAGTAAAATAGACTTGTAATTGAAATAGATGCTGCAATGGCGATGGAGAGGGGTGAGACAGACGGGAGTAAAATAGCCTTTGTACTTGAAATAGATGCTGCAATGGCGATGGAGAGGTGATAGACACGGGAGCAAAATAGCCTTTGTACTTGGAAATAGATGCTGCAATGGCGATGAGAGGTGATATAGACACGGGGATAAAATAGCCTTTGTACTTCAAATAGATGCTGCTATGGCGACGAGAGGATAGACATCGGGAGCAAAATTGCCCTCACGTTTGAAACGAATGCCGCTTTTGGCGAGGGAAAGTTGATACACGGGAGTAAAATAGACGGTACTTGAAATAGATGCTGCAATGGCGACGGAGAGGTGATATGGTGACACGGGAGCAAAAATAGGCTTGTACTTGAAACAGATGCTGCTATGGCGAGGGGAGAGGTGAAATAGACACGGGAGTAAAATAGCCTTGTACTTGAAATAGATGCTGCAATGGCGATGGAGTAGTGACATAGACACGGGAGTAAAATAGCCTTTGTACTTGAAATAGATGCTGCAAAGGCGATGAGAGGTGTTAGACATGGAAAAGAGCCTTGTACTTGAAACAGACACGGAGAGTAAAATAAGCCTTGTACTTGAAATAGATGCTGCAATGGCGATGGAGAGGATAGATGGAGAAATAGATGCTGATATATGGCAGACACGGGAGTAAAATAGCCTTTGTACTTGAAATAGATGCTGCAAATGGCGATGGAGAGGGATATAGACACGGGAGTAAAATATACGAATTGAAATAAAGATGCCGCAATGGCGATGGAGAGGTGATATAGACACGGGAGTAAAACAGCCTTTGTACTTGAAATAGATGCCGCAATGGCGATGGAGAGGTGATATAGACACGGGAGTAAAATTGCCACGTTTGAAACGAATGCTGTAAATGGCGAGGGAGAGTTGATATAGACACGGGAGCAAACAACTTGTACTTGAAATAGATGCTGCAATGGCGACGGAGAGGTGATAGACACGGGAGTAAAATTGCTCAATGCACTTGAAATAGAATGCTGCTATGGCGAGGAGAGGTGAAACAGACGGGGAGAAAATATACTTGTACTTGAAATAGAGCAATGGCGATGGAGAGGTGATATAGACACGTAAATAGCCTTTGTACTTGAAATAGATGCTGCAATGGGAGAGGTGATATAGACACGGGAGTAAACAGCTCACGTACTTGAAATAGATGCTATAATGGCGATGGAGAGGTGATATAGACACGGGAGTAAAATAGCCTTGTACTTGAAATAGATGCTGCAATGGCGATGGAGAGGTGATATAGACACGGGAGTAAAATAGCCTTGTACTTGAAATAGATGTTGCTATGGCGATGGAGAGGTGATATAGACACGGGAGTAAAATAGCCTTGTACTGAAATAGATGCTGCAATGGCGATGGAGAAAGATATAGACACGGGAGTAAAATAGCCTTGTACTTGAAATAGATGCTGCAATGGCGATGGAGAGGTGATATAGACACGGGAGTAAAATAGACTTGTACTTGAAATAGATGCTGCAATGGCGATGGAGAGGTGATATAGACACGGGAGTAAAATAGCCTTGTACTTGAAATAGATGCTGCAATGGCGATGGAGAGGTGATATAGACACGGAGCAAATAGCCTCAGATTTGAAATAGATGCTGCAATGGCGACGGAGAGGTGATATGAGACACGTGGAGCAAATAGCATTGTACTTGGAAATAGATGCTGCAATGGCGACGGAGAATTAGACACGGAGTAAAATAGCCTTGTACTTGAAACAGAGGCAATTAGAGAATAGACGGGAGTAAAATAGCCTTGTACTTGAAATAGATGCTGCAATGGCGATGGAGAGGTGATAGACACGGGAGTAAAATAGCCTTTGTACTTGAATAGATGCTGCAATGGCGACGGAGAGGTGATATAGACACGGGAGTAAAATAGCCTTGTGCTTGAAATAGATGTGCTGCAATGGCGATGGAGAGGTGATATAGACACAGGGAGTAAAATATTGTACTTGAAATAGATGCTGCAATGGCGATGGAGAGGTGATATAGACACGGGAGTAAAATAGTTTGTACTTGAAAATAGATGCTGCAATGAGATGGAGAGGTGTGGACACGGGAGTAAAATAGCTTTGTACTTGAAATAGATGCTGCAATGGCGATGGGATGATACAGACACGGGAGTAAAATAGCCTTGTACTTGAAATAGATGCTGCAATGGCGATGGAGAGGTGATATAGACACGGAGTAAAAATAGCCTTGTACTCTGAAATAGATGCTGCAATGGCGATGGAGAAATAGACACGGGAGTAAAATAGCCTGTACTTGAAATGGCTTAAATGGCGATGGAGGGGTGATATAGACACGGGAGTAAAATAGCCTTGTACTTGAAATAGATGCTGCAATGGCGATGGAGAGGTGATGATAGACGGGACAAAATATTCTCACTTGAAATAGATGCTGCTATGGCGAAAATACAGACACGGGAGTAAACAGTCTGTACTTGAAATAGATGCCGCAATGGCGATGGAGAGGGTGATAGCCTGTACGGGGAGTAAAATAGGTGATTGTAGCCTTGAAATAGATGCTGCAATGGCGATGGGAGAGGTGATATAGACACGGGAGTAAAATAGCCTTTGTGCTTGAAATAGATGCTGCAATGGCGATGGAGAGGTGATATAGACACGGGAGTGAAAATAGCCTTGTACTTGAAATAGATGCTGCAATGGCGATGGAGAGGTGATATAGACACGGGGTGTAAAATATGCTGCAATGAAGATGGAGAGGTGATATAGACACGGGAGTAAATACTTGAAATAGATGCTGCAATGGCGATGGAGAGGTGATAGACACGGGAGTAAATAGCCTTGATGGAAAATAGAAGGTGATATAGACACGGGGAGTAAAATAGCCTTGTACTTGAAACAGATGCTGCAAATGGCGATGGAATGACATAGACACGGGGCCTTGTAAAATAGATGCTTATGGCGACGGAGTAAAATAGATGCTGCGAATGGCGATGAGGAGTTGATATAGACACAGGAAAAATAGCCTTGTACTTGAAATAGATGCTGCAATGGCGATGGAGAGGTGATATAGACACGGGAGTAAAATAGCCTTTGTACTTGAAATAGATGCTGCAGTAAAATAGCCTTGCTTGAAATAGATGGAATGGGTGATATAGACACGGGTAAAATAGCCTTTGTACTTGAAATAGATGCTGCAAAGGGGCGATGGAGAGGTGTTATAGACACGGGAATAAAATAGCCTTGTAATTTGAAATAGATGCTGCAATGGCGATGGAGAGGTGATATAGACAAGGGGAGTAAAATAGCCTTTGTACTTGTAAAATAGATGCTGCAATGGCGATGGAGAGGTGATACAGACACGGGAGTAAAATAGACATGTAATTGAAATAGATGCTGCAATGGCGATGGATATAGACACGGAGTAAAATAGCCTTGTACTTGAAATAGATGCTGCAATATGATGAGGGGATAGAGAGGCACTTGAAATAGACACGGGAAAAATAGCCTTTGTACTTGAAATAGATGCTGCAATGGCGATGGAGAGGTGATATAGACGAACTATGGGAGGAAAAATAGACTTGTACTTGAAATAGATGCTGCAATGGCGACGGAGAGGTGATATACACGGGACACTTGTACTTGGAGCTAAAATAACTTGTACTTGAAATAGGTGCTGCGTCTGGAGAGGCATATAGCGCAAAACAGGGTACTTGAAACAGATGCTGCAATGGCGATGGAGAGGTGATAGACACGGGAGTAAAATAGCCTTTGTACTTGAAATAGATGCTGCAATGGCGATGGAGAGGTGATAGACACGGGAGTAAAATAGCCTTGTACTTGAAATAGATGCTGCAATGGCGATGGAGAGGATATAGACACGGGGAGTAAAAATAGCCTTGTAATTGAAATAGATGCTGCAATGGCGATGGAGAGGTGATATAGACACGGGAAGTAAAATAGACTGTGTTTGAAATAGATGCTGCAATGGCGAGGGAAAGGTGATATAGACACGGGAGCAAAATAGACTTGGTACTTGAAATAGATGCTTGCAATGGCGATGGAGAGGTGATATAGACACGGGAGCAAACTTGGTACTTGAAATAGATGCTGCTATGGCTTGAAATAGACACGGGAGTAAAAGCTCACGTTTGAAACGAATGCTGCTATGGCGAGGGAAAGCTGAACAGACACGGGAGTAAAATAGACTTGTACTTGAAAATAGATGCTTAATGGCGTAAAGGTGATATAGCGATGGAGATGGTGGCGAGGAGATAGACACGGGAGTAAAACAGCCTTTGGTACTTGAAATAGATGCCGCAAATGGCGATGGAGAGGTGATTATAGACACGGGAGTAAAATAATTTGTACTTGAAATATGCCGTAATGGCGATGAGGTGATAGACACGGGAGTAAAATAGCCTTGTACTTGAAATAGATGCTGCAATGGCGATGGAGAGGTGATATAGACACGGGAGTAAAATGCCTTTGTACTTGAAATAGATGCTGCAATGGCGATGGAGAGGATATAGACACGGGAGTAAAATAGACCTTGTACTTGAAATAGATGCCGCAATGGCGATGGAGAGATGATAGACACGGGAGTAAAATAGCTTTGTACTTGAAATTAGATGCTGCAATGGCGATGGAGAGGAGATATAGACACGAGTAAAATAGCCTTGTAATTTGAAATAGATGCTGCAATGGCGACGGAGAGGCGATATAGACACGGAGTAAAAATAGCCTTGTACTTGAAATAGATGCTGCAATGGGACGGAGAGGTGATAGACACGGGAGCAAAATTGCCTTCACGTTTGAAATAGAATGCTGCAATGGCGACGGAAAGGTGATATTGACACGGAGTAAAATAGCTTGTACTTGAAATAGATGCTGCAATGGCGACGAGAGGTGATGGCAGACACGAGTAAAATAGCCTTTGTACTTGAAGCCATATGCTGCAATGGCGACGGAGAGGATATAGACACGGGAGTAAAATAGCCTTGTACTTGAAATAGATGCTGCAATGGCGATGGAGAGTGATAAGATGGGACTAAAATATTCTTGTACTTGAAATAGATGCTGCAATGGCGACGGAGAGGATATAGACACGGGAGCAAATACGCCTTGTACTTGAAATAGATGCCGCAAATGGCGATGGAGAGGTGATATAGACACGGGAGTAAAAATAGCCTTTGTATTTGAAATAGATGCTGCAATGGCGATGGGAGAGGTGATATAGACACGGGAGTAAAATAGCCTTTGTACTTGAAATAGATGCTGCAATGGCGACGGAGAGGCGATATAGACACGGGAGTAAAATAGCCTTGTACTTGAAACAGATGCTGCAATGGCGACGGAGAGGGAGCAAAATAGACTTGGACTTGAAATAGAAAATGGAGAGCCTTTAAATACTTGAAATAGATGCTGCAAATGGCGAGGGGAGAGGTGATATAGACACGGGAGTAAAATAGCCTTGTACTTGAAATAGATGCTGCAATGGCGACGGAGAGGTGATATAGACACGGGAGTAAAATAGCCTTGTACTTGAAATAGATGCTGCAATGGCGATGGAGAGGTGATAGACACGGGAGTAAAATAGCCGGGAGCAATGGCGATGGAAATATAGACACGGGAGTAAAATTGTACTTGAAATAGATGCTGCAATGGCGACGGAGAGGTGATATAGACACGGGAGTAAAATAGCCTTGTACTTGAAATAGATGCTGCAATGGCGATGGAGAGGTGATATAGACACGGGAGTAAAATAGCCTTGTACTTGAAATAGATGCTGCAATGGCGACGGAGAGGTGATATAGACACGGGAGTAAAATAGCCTTGTACTTGAAATAGAGCAATGGCGATGGAGAAGGATAGACACGGGAGTAAAATAGCCTTGTACTTGAAAATAGATGCTGCAATGGCGATGGAGAGGTGATATAGACACGGGAGCAAAATAGCCTTGTACTTGAAATAGATTCTGCAATGGCGATGGAGAGGTGATATCGACACGGGAGCAAAATATTTGTACTTGAAATAGATGCTGCAATGGCGATGGAGAGGTGATACAGACACGGGAGTAAAACAGCCTTTGTACTTGAAATAGATGCTGCAAATGGCGATGGAGAGGTGATGGCGATGCCTTGTACTTGAAATAGATGCTGCAAAGGGCGATGGAGAGGTGTTATACATTAATGGAGCAAAATAGCTTTGTACTTGAAATAGATGCTGCTATGGCGATGGAGAGGTGATATAGACACGGGGAGTAAATAGCTTTGTACTTGAAATAGATGCTGCAATGGCGATGGAGAGGTGATAGACACGGGAGTAAAATATACATGTACTGAAATAGATGCTGCAATGGCGATGGAGAGGTGATATAGACACGAGTAAAATAGTTTGTACTGAAATAGATGCTGCAATGGCGATGGAGAGGGATAGACACGGGAGTAAAATAGCTTTGCACTTGAAATAGATGCTGCAATGGCGATGGAGAGGTGATATAGACACGGAGTAAAATAGCCTTTGTACTTGAAACAGATGCTGCTATGGCGACGGAGAGGTGATAGACACGGGAGTAAAATTGCCTTTCACGTTTGAAAAGAATGCTGCTATGGCAGCGATAGAGACACGGGAGTAAAATATACTTGGAATGGCGACGAGGTGATATAGACACCGGGAGTAAATAGCCTTGTTTCTGAAATAGATGCTATGGCGAGGGAGACAGACGGGAGTAAAATAGCCTTTGTACTTGAAATAGAGCAATGGCGATGGAGAGGTGATATACGGGAGTAAATAGCCTTGACGGGCAATGGCGATGGAGAGGTGATAGCAGACACGGGGAGTAAAATTGCCTTGTACTTGAAACGTTTGAAACGGGAATGCTTGAAATAGATGTAATGGCGAGGGAACGGAGCAAAATAGCCTTGGATGAAATAGATGCCGCATGGCGATGGGAGGTGAAAATAATTTGTACTTGAAATAGATGCCAAATTGAAATAGCAAAATAGCCTTGCTTGAAATGGCAATGGCGATGATGGAGAGGTGATATAGACGGGAGTAAAATAGGCTTGTACTTGAAATAGATGCCGCAATGGCGAGGAGAGGTGAACAGACACGGGAGTAAAATAGCCTTTGTACTTGAAATAGATGTGCAATGATGGAGAGAGGTGTGATAGACACGGGAGTAAAATAGCCTTGTACTTGAAATAGATGCTGTAAATGGCGACGGAGAGGTGATATAGACACGGGGAGTAAAATAGCCTTGTACCTGAAATAGATGCTGCAATGTCGATGGAGAGTGGATATAGACACGGGAGTAAAATAGCCTTTGTACTTGAAATAGATGCTGCAATGGCGATGGAGAGGTGATATAGACACGGGACTAAAATAGACATGTAATTGGAAATAGATGCTGCAATGGCGATGCTGGAGAGGTGATATAGACACGGGAGTAAATAGCCTTTGTACTTGAAAATAGATGCTGCAATGGCGACGGAGAGGTGATATAGACACGGGGAGCAAAAATAGCCTTGTACTTGAAATAGATGCTGCAATGGCGATGGAGAGGTGATATAGACACGGGAGTAAAATAGCCTTGTACTTGAAATAGATGCTGCTATGGCGACGGAGAGGTGATATAGACACGGGAGTAAAATTGCCTCACGTTTGAAAAGAATGCTGCTATGGCGAGGGAAAGTTGATAGAGACACGGGAGTAAAATAGCCTTGTACTTGAAATAGATGCGATGGAGAGGATATAGACACAATGGCGATGGCGATGGAGCGATATAGACACGGGAGTAAACAGCCTTGTACTTGAAATAGATGCTGCTATGGCGATGGAGAGTGATAGACACGGGAGTAAAATAAGCCTTGGAAATGGTGCCGCAATGGCTTGAAAAATAGATGTAATTGAAAATAGGCTGCAAATGAGAGGTGATATAGACACGGGAGCAAAATAGCCTTGTACTTGAAAAATAGATGCCGCAATGGCGATGGAGATGATATAGACACGGGAGTAAAATAGCCTTGTACTTGAAACAGATGCTGCAATGGCGATGGAGAGGATACAGACCGGGATAAAATAGACTTGAAATAGATGCTGTAAATGGCGATGGAGAATAGACACGGGAGCCTTCTGAAATAGACTATGGCGATGGAAATAGATGCTTGCTGGAAATAGGCGATGGCGATGGAGGTGACATAGACACGGGAGTAAAATAGCCTGGTGTTGAAATAGATGCTGCAATGGCGATGAAATAGATGCCGCTTGAAATAGAAATGGCGATGGAGAGGTGATATAGACACGGGAGCAAAGTGCACTTGAAATAGATGCTGCTATCCTGGAGAGATATAGAAGTAAAATGTTTTGGTACTTGAAATAGATGCTTAAATGGCGATGGAGAGGTGATATAGACACGAGGGACTTGTAAAAATAGAGCCAATGGCGATGGAGGTGATTAGACACGGGAGCAAATAGCCTTGAAATAGATGCTGCAATGGCGATGGAGAGGTGATATAGACACGGAGTAAAATAGCCTTGTACTTGAAATAGATGCCGCAATGGAGAGGTGATATAGACACGGGAGACTTGATGAAATAGATTCTGCAATGGCGATGAGAGGTGATAGACACGGGAAAATAGCCTTTGTACTTGAAAATAGATGCTGCAATGGCGATGGAGAGGTGATATAGACACGGAGGGACTTGTAATTGAAAAGATGCTGCAATGCGATGGAGAGGTGATAGACACGGGAGTAAAATACCTTTGTACTTGAAACAGATGCTGCAATGTCGACGGAGAGGTGATATAGACACGGGAGTAAAATAGACTTGTAATTGAAATAGATGCTGTGGCGATGAGACTGATGAAATAGATGTACTTGAAATAGATGCTGCAATGGCGATGGAGAGGTGATATAGATTACGAGACAAAATAGACTTGTAATTCAAAATAGATGCTGCAAATGGCGATGGAGAGGTGATATAACACGGGAGCAAAATAGCCTTGTACTTGAAATAGATGCCGCAATGGCGATGGAGTGGTGATAGACACGGGAGTAAAAATACCCTTTGTACTTGAAATAGATGCTGCAATGGCGATGGAGGGAAATAGACGGGAGGAAAAATAGCGTTTGTACTTGAAATAGATGCCGAAATGGCGACGGAGAGGTGATATAGACACGGGAGTAAAATAGCCTTCACGTTTGTACTTGAAAATAGATGCTGCAATGTCGACGGAGAGGTGATATAGTTGATAAAAATAGCCACTTGAAATAGATGCTGCAAAATGGAGAGGTGATATAGACACGGGATAAAATAGCCTTTGTACTTGAAATAGATGAATGGCGACGGAAATGACACGGAGTAAAATAGCCTTGATGAAAAGATGCTGCAATGGCGACGAGAGGTGATATAGACAGTCGAATAAATTGTCACGTTTGAAACGAATGCTGAAATGGCGACGGAAAGGTGATATAGACACGGGGAGTAAAAAATAGCCTGCAATGGCGATGGAGAAAGGTGATATATAGAAAGTAAAGATGTACTTGAAATAATGCTGCAATGGGATGAAAGGTGATATAGACACGGGAGCAAAATAGCCTTGTAGGTGATATAGACACGGGGGAGTAAAATAGATGTACTTGAAATCCATGCTATGGCGACGGAGATGATAGACATCGGGAGTAAAAAGCTCACGTTTGAAAACGAATTGAAATAGAAGTTGCTGCGGAGTAAAATAGACTTGACTTGGAGCAATGGCGACGATGATAGACACGGGAGTAAAATAGAATTTGTAATTGAAATAGATGCTGCTATGGCGAGGGAGAGGATATAGACACGGAGAGCCTTGTACTGAAATAGATGCTGCAATGGCGGACGGGAGTAAAATAGCCTTGTACTTGAAATAGATGCTGCAAATGGAGAGGCAGATATAGACACGGAGCAAAAGGCTTTCTTGATATAGACATGGCGATGGAGTGAATATATTCCTTGTACTTGAAATAGATGCTGCAATGGCGATGGGAGGTGATATAGACACGGGAGTAAATAGCCTTGTACTTGAAATAGAGCCAATGGCGATGGAGAGGTGATATGTAAAATAGCCTTGTACTTGAAATAGATGCAATGGCGATGGAGACACGGGAGTAAAATAGCCTTTGTACTTTGGAAATAGATGCTGTAAATGGCGGGAGGTGAAATGAACACGGGAGTAAAATAGCCTGCTTTGAAATAGATGCTGCAATGGCGATGGAGAGGTGATATAGACACGAGTAAAATAGCATTGTACTTGAAATAGATGCTGCAATGGCGATGGAGAGATATGATATAGATGAATGGGAGTAAAATAGTTTTGTACTTGAAATAGATGCTGCAATGGCGATGGAGAGGTGATATAGACACGGGAGTAAAAATAGCTTTGTACTTGAAATAGATGCTGCAATGGCGACGGAGAGGTGATATAGACACGGAAGTAAAATAGCCTTGTAATTGAAATAGATGCTGCAATGGCGATGGAGAGGTGATATAGACACGGAGTAAAATAGCCTTGAAATTGGTACAATTTGAAATAGATGCTGCAATGGCGATGGAGAGGTGATAGAACACGGGAATAAAAATAGCCTCGTTTGTACTATGAAAATATAGATGCTTGAAATAGATGCTGCAATGGCGATGGAGAGGTGATATAGACACGGGGATGAAAATAGCCTTTGTACTTGAAAAAGATGCCGCAATGGCGATGGAGAGTGAAATATAGACGGGAGTAAAATGTAGTACTGAAATAGATGTTGCAATGGCGAGAGGTGATAGACACGGGAGTAAAATAGCCTTGTACTTGAAATAGATGCTGCAATGGCGACGGAATGATATAGACACGGGGTAAAATAGCCTTGTACTTGAAATAGATGCTGCTATGATGGGAGAGGTGATAGACACAGGATTAAAATAGCCTTGTACTTGAAATAGATGCTGCAATGACGATGGAGAGGTGATATAGACACGGGATTAAAATAGCCTTGTACTTGAAATAGATGCTGCGGCGGCGACGGAGAGGTGATATAGACACGGGACAAAATTGCCTCACGTTTGAAAGATGCTGCTATATGGCGACGGAAAGGTGATATAGACACGGGATAAAAATAGCTTTTGTACTTGAAAATAGATGCTGCAATGTTGACGGAGGTGATATAGACACGGAGTAAAATAGCCTTTGTTTTGAAATAGATATGCTGCTATGGCGAGGAAAGGTGATATAGACACGGGGTAAAATAGCCTTGTACAAATAGATGCTGCTATGGCGACGGAGAGGGTGATATATAGACACGGAGTTAAAATAGCCTTGTACTTGAAATAGATGTTGCTATCAGGGATGGAGAGGTGATATAGACACGGGAGTAAAATAGCCTTGTACTTGAAATAGATGTTGCTATGGCGATGGAGAGGTGATATAGTCGGGAGTAAAATAGCCTTGTACTTGAAATAGATGCTGCAATGGCGATGGAGAGGTGATATAGACACGGGAAAAAACAGCCTTATTACTTGAAATAGATGCTGCAATGGCGATGAGAGGTGATATAGACACGGGGAGTAAAATAGCCTTACTTGAAATAGATGCTGCAATGGCGACGGAGAGGATATAGACACAGATAAAAATAGCCTTGTACTTGAAATAGATGCTGCTATGGGACGGAGAGGTGATATAGACACGGGAGTAAAATTGCCTCACGTTGAAAACGAATGCTGCTTATGGCGAGGGAAAGTTGATAGCAGACACGGGAGTAAAATAGCCTCAATGCTTGAAATAGATGCTGCAATGGCGAGGGAAAGGTGATATAGACACGGAGCAAAAGCCTTGTACTTGAAAAGATGCTGCAATGGCGATGAGAGGTGATATAGTGGGAATTAAAATAGATTGAAACAGATGTTACTGAAATGGCATTGATATGACATGGGGTAAAGAGCCTCACGTTAAAAAGATGCTGCAATGGCGATGGAAAGGATATAGACACGGGAGTAAAATAGCCTTTGAAATAGATGCTGCAATGGCGATGAAAATAGACACGGGTGTAAAACAGTAACTTGAAAATAGATGCGCAATGGCGATGGAGAGTTGAAATAGACACGGGAGCAAAATAGGTTTGAAACAGATGCTAAAATGGCGACGGAAAGTTGATATGAACACGGGAGTAAAATAACCTCACGTTTGAAACGAATGCTGCGATGGCAACGGAAAGTTGATATAGACACGGGAGTAAAATAGCCTTCACGTTTGAAATAGATGCTGAAATGGCGATGGAGAGGTGATATAGACACGGGAGTAAAATAGCTTTGTACTTGAAACGAATGCTGCAATGGCGAAGGAGAGTTGATATAGACACGGGAGTAAATAGCCTCACGATTGAAAACGAATACCGAAATGGGCGGAAAGTTGATATAGACAGGGAGTGATATAGACTGAAATGGCGAGGAAAAATAGACACGGGAGTAAAATAGCCTCACGTTTGAAACGAATGCTGAAAATGGCAACGGAAAGTTGATATAGACACGGTGTAAAATAGCTCACGTTTGAAACGAATGATGAAATCAACTGCAATGGCAATGGAGAGAATGCTGATATAGACACACGGGAGTAAAATAGCCTCACGTTTGAAACAGATGCTGAAATGGCAACGGAAAGTTGATATGAACACGGGGTAAAATATGGAAAACAGATGCTGAAATGGCGACGGAAAGTTGATATAGAAATAAAATAGCCTCACGTTTTAAAAACGAATGCTGAATGGCAACGGAAAGTTGATAGACACGGGAGTAAAATAGCCTCACGTTGAAACGAATGCTGAAATGGCAACGGAAAGTTGATATAGACACGGGGAGAAAAATAGCCTCACGTTTGAAAACAGATGCTGAAATGGCAACGGGAGATTGATATAGACACGGAGTAAAAAATTGCCTCACGTTTGAAACGAATGCTGAAATGGCAACGGAAAGTTGATATAGACACGGGGAGTAAAAATAGACTTTGAAATAGATGCTGAATGGCAACGGAAAATTGATATAGACACGGGATTAAAAATAGCACGTTTGAACGGCTGAAAGAACGGAAAGTTGATATAGACACGGGGAGCCTCACGTTTGAAAAAAATAAATGGCAACGGAAAAGATGAAATAGACACTAAAATAGTTTCACGTTTGAAAAGAATGCTGCTATGGCGACGGAAAGGTGATAGACACGGGAGTAAAATAGCCTCACGTTTGAAACGAATTGAAATGGCAACGGAAAGTTGATATGAACACGGGATGCAAAAATTGCCTCACGTTTGGATGCTGAAATGGCAACGGAAAGTTGATATACACGGGAGCCTCACGGAGTTTTGATAGGATGTACTGAAATAGACGACGACGACGGATGAGAACACAGGGAGTAAAATAGCTGACGTTTGAAACGAATGCTGAAATGGCGACGGAGTGGTGATATAGACACGGAGTAAAATAGCCTCACGTTGAAATAGATGCTGAAATGGCAACGGAAAGTTGATATAGACACGGGAGTAAAATAGCCTCACGTTTGAAACGAATGCTGAAATGGCGACGGAAAGTTGATATAGACACGGGAGTAAAATAGCCTCACGTTTGAAACGAATGCTGAAATGGCGACGGAAAATTGATATAGACACGGGAGTAAAAATAGCCTCACGTTTGAAATAGAATGCTGAAAATGGCAACGGAAAGTTGATATAGACACGGGAGTAAAATAGCCTCACGTTTGAAACGAATGCTGAAATGGCAACGGAAAGTTGATATAGACACGGAGTAAAATAGCCCACGTTTGAAACGAATGCTGAAATGGCGATAAAGAGGTGATATAGACACGGGAGTAAAATAGCCTCACGTTTGAAAAACGAATGCGGAAATGGCGATGGAGAGGTGATATAGACACTGAGTAAAATACTTCACGTTTGAAAAATGCTGAAATGGCAACGGAAAGTTGATATGAACATAGATGTTTGAAACGAATGGCTGAAATGGAGAAAGTTGGATATAGACAGGGAGTAAAATAGCCTCATTTGAAACGAATGCTGAAATAGATAAAGAGGTGATATGGACACGGGAGTAAAATAGCCTCACGTTTGAAACGAATGCTGAAATGGCGACGGAGAGGTGATATAGACACGGGAGTAAAATAGCCTCACGTTTGAAATAGATGCTGCAATGGCAACGGAAAGGTGATATGACACGGGAGTAAAATAGCACGTTTGAAACGAATAGATGGCGACGGAGAGGTGATATAGACACGGAGTAAAAATAGCCTTTGAAACGAATGCTGCTATGCGACGAATGAGATAGACACGGGAGTAAAAATTACCACATTTTAGAGGTGAAATGGCAACGGAGAGTTGATATAGACACGGGAGTAAAATAGCCTTGTACTTGAAAATAGATGTTGAAATGGCGAATGAGATGATATAGACACGGAGTAAAATAACTTGGTTTGAAATAGATGCTGAAATGACGACGGGAGAGGTGATATAGACACGGGAGTAAAATAGCCTTGACGTTTGAAATAGATATGATGCGACGGCAATGGCGACACGGAGTAAATAGCCTCACGTTTGAAACGACTGAAATGGCGGGAAAGTTGATATAGACACGGGAGTAAAATAGCCTCACGTTTGAAAACGGATGCTGAAATGGCGATGGAAAGTTGATATAGACACGGGAGTAAAATAGCCTCACGTTTGAAACGAATGCTGAAATGGCGACGGAAAGTTGATATAGACACGGGAGTAAAAATAGCCACGTTTGGGAAACGAATGCTGGTGGCAACGGAAAGTTGATATAGACAGTAAAATAGCCTCACGTTTTGAAACGAATGCTGAAATGGCAACGGAAAGTTGATATAGACACGGGAGTAAAAATAGCCTCACGTTTGAACGAATGCTGAAAATAGTTGATATAGACACGGGAGTAAAATGCCTCACGTTTGAAAACGAATGCTGAAATGGCGACGGATGGAGGTGATATAGACACACGGGATTAAAATAGCCTCACGCCTTGAAACGAATGCTGAAATGGCAACGGAAAGTTGATATAGACACGGGGTAAAAAATAGCTCTCACGTTTGAAACGAATGCTGAAATGGCGGAAAGTTGATATAGACACGGAGACACGTTTGAAACGAATGCTGAAATGGCAATAAAGAGGTGATATAGACACGGAGTAAAATAACACGTTTGAAACGAATGCTGAAATGGCGATGGAGAGTTGATATGAGTAAAATTGCCTCACGTTTGAAATGAATGCTGAAATGGCGAAAGTTGATATAGACACGGGGTAAAATAATCACGTTTGAAATAGATGCTGCAATGACGATGGAGGTGATATAGTTAGCTCACGTTTGAAACGAATGCTGAAATGGCAACGGAATGTTGATATAGAAATAGCCCACATTTGAAAAACGAATGCTGAAATGAGGAAAGTTGATATAGACACGGGAGTAAAATAGCCTTGTACTTGAAATAGATGCTGCAATGGCGATGGAGAGGTGATATAGACACGGGAGTAAAATAGCCTTTGTACGTTTGGAAACAGATGCTGCAATGGGGATGGAAAGGTGATATAGACACGGTAGTTTGAAAATGAAATCGACGGAGAGTTGATTGAACACGGAAGTAAAATAGCCTCAATGTTTAAAAACGAATGCTGAAATGGCGAGGAAAGTTGATATAGACACGGGAGTAAAAATAGCCTTTTTACTTGAAATAGATGCTGCAATGGCGACGGAGTGGATTGATATAGACACGGAATAAAATAGCCTCGTTTGAAACGAATGATGAAATGGCAACGGAAAGTTGATAGACACGGGAGTAAAATGGCCTCACGTTTGAAACGAATGCTGAAATGGCGACGGAAAGTTGATATAGACACGAGCAAAATAGCCACGTTTGAAAACGAATGCTGAAATGGCGACGGAAAGTTGATGACATGGGAGTCAAAATAGCCTCACGTTTAAAACGAATGCTGAAATGGCAAGGAAAGTTGATATAGACACGGGAGTAAAATAGCCTCACGTTTTGAAACGAATGATGAAAATGGCAACGGAAAGTTGATATAGACACGGGAGTAAAATAGCCTCACGTTTGAAACGAATGCTGAAATGGCGATGAAAGTTGATATAGACAAAATAGCTTCACGTTTGAAAACGAATGCTGAAATGGCGACGGAAAGTTGATATAGACACAGGATAAAAATAGCCTCACGTTTGAAACGAATGCTGAAATGGCAACGGAAAGTTGGAGACACGGAGTAAAACGCTCGTTAGATACTTCAATGGCACGATATAGACACGGGGAGTAAAATTGCCTCACGTTTTGAAACGAATGCTGCAATGGCAACGGGAAAGGGATATACACACGGGAGTAAAATAGCCTCACGTTTGAAACGACAGAAATGGCGGTGGAGAGTTGATATGGACACGGAGTAAAATGTACGTTTGAAATAGATGCTGAAATGACGGAATGAAAGTTGATATAGACACGGGAGTAAAATAGCCTCACATTTGAAACGATGCTGAAATGGCAATGGAGAGTTGAAATAGACACGGGGTAAAAATAGCCTTTTACTTGAAATAGATGCTGCAATGGCGATGGAGACGGATATAGACACGGGAGTAAAATAGCCTTGTACCTGAAATAGATGTTGCAATGGCGATGGAGAGGTGATATAGTCACGGGAGCAAAATAGCCTTTTACTTGAAATAGATGCTGCTATGGCCTGACACGGGATTAAAAATACTTGAAATAGATGCTGCAATGGCGATGGAGAGGTGATAGACACAGGGAGTAAAATAGCCTTGCTATACGAGGGAGAAAGTTGATATGGAAATAGATGCTGCAATGCTGCGATGGAGACGGGATATAGACACGGGTTAAATAGCCTGTACTTGAAATAGATGTTGCTATGGCGACGGAGAGGATATAGAAATGGGAGTAAAATTGCGATGGAAGATGATATAGTCACGTTTGAAACGAATAGCTGCTATGGCGAGGGAAAGTTGACGACACGGGAGTAAAATAGCCTGTACTTGAAATAGATGCTGCAATGGCGACGGACGTTTAGACACGGAGTTAAATGCTGAAATAGATGTTGCTATGGCGATGGAAAGGTGATATAGACACGGGAGTAAAATAGCAAAATAGATGCTTGCAATGGCGATGGAGAGGTGATATGTAAAAATAGAAATAGATGCTGCAATGGCGATGGAGAGGTGATATAGACACGGGAGTAAAATAGCCTTTGTACTGTTAAATAGATGCTAATGGCGATGGAGAGGTGATATAGACACGGGAGTAAAATACTTCACGTTTGAAATAGATGCTGCTATTGATATAGACACGGGAGTAAAATAGCCTTTGTACTTGAAATAGATGTTGCGATGGGGATGGAGGGTGATATGAACACGGGAGCAAAATAGCCTTGGTTTGAAATAGATGCTGAAATGGCGATGGAAAGGTGATATAGACACGGGAGCATTTGAAAAATGAAAGGCCGGAAATTTGATATGTTTGAAATAACGTTTGAAACGAATGCTGAAATGGCGACGGAAAGTTGATATAGACACGGGGAGTAAAATTGCCCTCACGTTTGAAAAACGAATGCTGAAATGGCGACGGAAAGTTGAATGACACGGGAGTAAGATAGCCTCACGTTTGAAACAGATGAAATGGGGATGGAGAGTTAATATAGACACGGGGTAAAATAGCCTTGTTTGAAATAGATGCCAATGGCGACGGAGAATTGATATAGACACGGGAGTAAAATAGCCTCACGTTTGAAACGAATGCTGAAATGGCACGGAAATTTGATTGACACGGGGAGTAAAATAGCCTCACGTTTGAAACGAATGCTGAAATGGCGACGGAAAGTTGATATGACACGGAAAACGAATGCTGAAATAAAAATAGACACGGGAGTAAGATAGCCTCACGTTTTAAACGAATGCTGAAATGGCCGGGAAAACGATATAGACACGGGAGAAATGGCGTTTTGGAAACGGAAAGTTGATATAGACACGGAAGAATTGAATGGCGACGGAAAGTTGAATAGACACGGGAGTAAAATAGCCTCACGTTTTAAAACGAATGCTGAAATGGCAACGGAAAGTTGATATAGACACGGGAGATAAAATAGCCTCCACGTTTGTGAATTGAAAACGTTTGAAACGAATGCTGAAAATGGCGACGGTTGATATAGACACGGCAGTAAAATAGCCCTCACGTTTGAAACGAATGCTGAAATGGCAACGGAAAGTTGATATAGACACGGGAGTAAAAATAGCCTCACGTTTGAAACGAATGATGAAATGGCAACGGAAAGTTGATATGCGGGAGTAAAAATAGCCTCACGTTTGAAAAACGAATGATGAAATGGCAACGGAAAGTTGATATAGACACGGGAGTAAAATAGCCTCACGTTTGAAACGAATGCTGAAATGAAAAAAAGACACGGGGTAAAATAGCCTCACGTTTGAAACGAACGAAATGGCGACTTGAAATGATATGAACACGGGAGTAAAAATAGCCTCACGGAGGAAACGAATGCTGAAATGGCAACGAAAGTTGATATAGAAAGTAAAATGATGAAACGAAATGGCAAACAAAGGAGACACGGAAAATAGCCTCACGTTTGAAACGAATGCTGCAATGGCGATGGAGAGAGACACGGGAGTAAAATAGCCTCACGTTTGAAAAAAACGAATGAAATGGCGATGGAGAGGTGAAAGAACACGGGAGTAAAAATTGCCTCACGTTTAAACGAATGCTGCAATGGCAACGGAAAGTTGATATAGACGGGAGTAAAATAGCCACGTTTGAAACGAATGCTTCAATGGCGGTGGAGAGTTGATATAGACACGGGAGGACCTCGTTTGAAATGAATGCTGAAATGGCAACGTGATAGACACGGGAGAAATAGAATTTTAAAACGAATGCTGAAATGGCAACGAGAGTTGATATGGACACGGGATTAAAAATAGCCTTGTTTGAAATAGATGCTGCAATGGCGATGGAGAGGTGATATAGACACGGGAGTAAAATAGCCTTGAAATAGATGCTGCAATGGCGATGGAGGTGATATAGACACGGGAGTAAAATAGCCTTTACTTGAAATAGGCTGCGGCGATGGAGAGTTGATATAGACACGGGAGTAAAATAGCCTTGTACTTGAAAATAGATGCTGGCAATGGCGATGGAGGTGATATAGACACGGGAGTAAAAATAGCCTTGTACTTGAAATAGATGCTGCAATGACGATTGAGAGGTGATAGACACGGGATTAAAATAGCTTGTACTTGAAATAGATGCTTGAAATAGTAAATGCTGCTATGGCGACGGAGAGGTGGATATAGACACGGAGTAAAATAGCCACTTGAAATTTGAAACGGAGATGGATATAGACACTGCTATGGCGACGAAACATGTCGATGATATAGACACGGGAGTAAAAATAGCCTTGTACTTGAAATAGATGCTGCAATGGCGATGGGAGGTGATATAACACGGGAGTTCGAATGCTGAAAAGATGCTGCAATGGGATGGAGGTGATATAGACACGGGAGTAAAAAATAGCCTTTGGTACTTGAAATAGATGTTGCTATGGCGATGGAGAGGATATAAATCCACGAAATAACCTTGTACTTGAAATAGATGCTGCAATGGCGATGGAGAGGTGATAGACACGGAGTAAAATAGCCTTGTGCTTGGAAAAGATGCTGCAATGGCGATGGAGAGGTGATATAGACACGGGAGTAAAATAGCCTTGTACTTGAAATAGATGCTGCAATGGCGATGGAGAGGTGATAAAACGGGAGTAAAATAGCCTTGTACTTGAAATAGATGCTGCAATGGCGATGGAGAGGTTATAGACAAGGAGTAAAATTGCCTTATGTTTGAAAACGATGCTGCTATGGCGAGGAAAGGTGATGAACACGGGGTAAAATAACTTGAAATAGATGTTGCTAGGGGGATGGAGGGATAGTAACACGGGAGCAAAATAGCCTCACGTTTGAAAAACGAATGCTGAAATGGCGATGGAAAGTTGATATAGACACGGAGTAAAAATACGTTTGAAAAAACGAATGCTATCGGCGATGGAACGTTTGAAAAAGGAGTAAAAAATGTTTGAAAAATGCTGAAATGGCGATGGAAAGTGATATAGACACGGGGTAAAAATAACCTCACGTTTGAAACGAATGCTGGAAATGGCGACGGAAATTTGATATAGACACGGGAGTAAAATAGCCTCACGTTTGAAAAAAACGAATGCTGAAATGGCAACGGAAAGTTGATATAGACACGGAGTAAAAATAGCCTCACGTTTGAAACGAATGCTGAAAATGGCAACGGAAAATTGATATAGACACGGGGAGTAAAATAACTCACGTTTGAAACGAATGCTGAAATGGCAACGGAAAGTTGATAGACGCGGGAATGCAAATAGCCTCACGTTTGAAACGAATGCTGAAATGGCGGAAAATTGATGATAGACACGGGAGCAAAATAGCCTCACGTTTGAAAAACGAATGCTGAAATGGATGAGAGGGTTGATATAGACTCGGGAGTAAAATAGCCTCACGTTTGAAACGAATGCTGAAATGGCAACGGAAAGTTGATATAGACACGGGAGTAAAAATAGCCTCACGTTTGAAACGAATGCTGAAATGGCAACGGAAAGTTGATATAGACACGGGGAGTAAATAACCATACGTTTGAAACGAATGCTGAAATGGCAACCTTGAAAGTTGATATAGACACGGGAGTAAAATAGCCTCACGTTTGAAACGAATGCGTTTGAAAAATGGCAACGAAAGTTGATATAGACACGGGAGTAAAATAGCCTCACGTTTGAAATAGAACTTTGAAATGGCAACGGAAAGTTGATATAGACACGGGAGTAAAATAAGCCTCACGTTTGAAAAGAATACTGAAATGGCAACGGAAAGTTGATATAGACACGGAGTAAAATAGCCTCAACGTTTGAAATAGAATGCTGAAATGGCAACGGAAAGCCTCACGTTTGATAAATGGCAACTGGGAGTAAAATAGCCTCACGTTTTGAAACGAATGCCGAAATGGCAACGGAAAGTTGATATAGACACGGGAGTAAAATAGCCTTGTACTTGAAATAGATGCTGCTATGGCCACGGAGAGGTGATAGACACGGAGTAAAATAGTATACTTGAAACAGATGCTTTGGCGGCGACGGAGAGGTGAGATGTAGACACGGGAGTAAAATAGCCTTGTACTTGAAATAGATGCTGCTATGGCGACCGAGAGGTGATATAGACACGGGAGTAAAAAAGCAAATGCTGAAATGGCACGTTTGAAACGAATGCTGAAATGGCGACGGAAAGTTGATATAGACACGGAGTAAAATAGCCTCACGTTTGAAACGAATGCTGAAATGGCGACGGAAAGTTGATATAGACACGGGAGTAAAATAGCCTCACGTTTGAAAACGAATGCTGAAATGGCAACGGAAAGTTGATATAGACACGGGAGTAAAATAGCCTCACGTTTGGAAACGAATGACAGAGGATTGAAATGACACAACGGAAAGTTGATATAGATTAATGTAGACACAGGAGTAAAATAGCCTCACGTTTGAAAACGAATGCTGAAATGGCGACGGAAAGTTGATATAGACACGGAGTAAAATAGCCTCACGTTTCAAACGAATGCTGAAATGGCGAGGGAATTGTTTAAAATAGCCTCACGTTTGAAACGAATGCTGAAATGGCAACGGAAAGTTGATATAGACACGGGAGTAAAATAGCCTCCGTTTGAAACGAATGCTGAAATGGCAACGGAAAGTTGATATAGACACACGGGACAAAATAGCCTCACGTTTGAAACGACGCTGCAATGGCGATGGAGAGTTGATATAGACACGGGAGTAAAAATGTTCTTTTCACGTTTGAAACGAATGCTGAAATGGCGGTGGGAGGTGATATAGACACGGGAGTAAAATAGCCTCTCACGTTTGAAACGAATGGCAACGGAAATGGCACACGGAGTAAAAGCTCACATTTGAAACAGATGCTGAAATGGCAGGTGATATAGACACGGAGTAAAATAGCCTCACGTTTGGATGCTGAAAACGGAAAGTTGATATAGACACGGGAGTAAAATGACCTCACATTTGAAACGAATGCTGGAAATGGCAACGGAAAGTTGATATAGACACGGGAGTAAAATAGCCTCACGTTTGAAAAAATGGCGACGAAAGTTGATATAGACACGGGAGTAAAAATAGCCTCCCATTTGAAATGGCTGAAATGGAAAAGTTGATATAGACACGGGAGTAAATAGCCTCACGTTTTGAAACGAATGCTGAAATGGCGAGGGAAAGTTGATATAGACACGGGAGTAAAACAGCCTCACGTTTGAAATGGCGACGGAAAGATGATGAAATGGCAACGGAAAGTTGAAAGTTGAGAACACGGGAGTACAAAATAGCCTCACGTTTGAAATAGATGCTGAAATGAGGATGGAAAGTTGATATAGACACGGGGCAAAAATGAACACAGGATAAAAGGCAGCCTCACGTTTGAAACGAATGCTGAAATGGCAACGGAAAGTTGATATAGACACGGAGTAAATAGCCTCACGTTTTGAAACGAATGCTTGAAATGGCAACGGAAAGTTGGCGACGGGGTAAAATAGCCTCACGTTTGAAACGAATATGAAATGGCAACGGAAAGTTGATATAGACACAGGAGTAAAATAGCCTCACGTTTGAAACGAATGCTGAAATGGCAACGGAAATTGATATAGACACAGGGAGTAAAATAGCCCCTGACGTTTGGAAAACGAATGCTGTAATGGCGACGGAAAGTTGATATAGACACGGAGTAAAATAGCCTCACGTTTGAAACGAATGCTGAAATGGCAACGGAAAGTTGATATAGACACGGGAGTAAAATAGCCTCACGTTTGAAACGAATGCTGAAATGGCGACGGAAAGTTGATATAGACACGGGAGTAAAAATAGCCCACGTTTTGAAACGAATGCTGAAATGGCGACGGAAAGTTGATAGACACGGGAGTAAAAATAGCCTGACGTTTGAAACGAATGCTGAAATGGCGACGGAAAGTTGATATAGACACGGGAGTAAAATAGCTCACGTTTGAAACGAATGCTGAAATGGCAACGGGAAAGTTGATATAGACACGGGAGTAAAATAGCCTCACGTTTGAAACGAATGCTGAAATGGCGACGGAAAGTTGATATAGACACGGGAGTAAAAATAGCCTCACGTTTGAAACGAATGCTGAAATGGCGACGGAAAGTTGATAGACACGGGAGTAAAATAGCTCACGTTTGAAAATGAATGCTGAAATGGCGACGGAAAGTTGATATAGACACGGGAGTAAAATAGCCTCACGTTTGAAAAACGAATGCTGAAATGGCAAAGTTGATATAGACACGGGAGTAAAATAGCCTCACGTTTGAAACGAATGCTGAAATGGCGACGGAGAGTTGATATAGACACGGGAGTAAAATAGCCTCACGTTTGAAAACGAATGCTGAAATGGCAACGGAAGAGTTGATGCTAGACACGGGAGTAAAATGGCCTCACGTTTGCGAATGGCGACGGAAAGTTGATATAGACACGGGAGTAAAATTGCCTCACGTTTGAAACGAATGCTGAAATGGCAACGGAAAGTTGATATTGACACGGGAGTAAAATAGCTCCCGTTTGGAAAACGAATGCCGAAATGGCAACGAAAAGTTGATATAGACACGGGAGTAAAATAGCCTCACGTTTGAAAACGAATGCTGAAATGGCGACGGAAAGTTGATATAGACACGGAGTAAAATAGCCTCACGTTTGAAAAACGAATGCTGAAAAGGCAACGGAAAGTTGATATGAACACGGGAGTAAAATAGCCTCACGTTTGAAACGAATGCTGAAATGGCAACGGAAAGTTGATATTGACACGGGAGTAAAATAGCCTTGTACGTTTGAATCGAATGCTGAAAATGGCGACGGAAAGTTGATATAGACACGGGAGTAAAATAGCCTCACGTTTGAAACGAATGCTGAAAATGGCAACGGAAAGTTGATATAGATAAAATAGCCTCACGTTTGAAACGAATGCTGAAATGGCGACGGAAAGTTGATATAGACACGGGAATAAAATAGCCTCACGTTTGAAAGGAATGCTGAATGGCAACGGAAAGTTGATATAGACACGGGATAAAATAGCCTCACGTTTGAAACGATGCTGAAAGGAAAGGTTGATATAGACACGGGAGTAAAATAGCTCCTTTTGAAACGAGATGCTGAAATGGCGACGGAGAAGTTGATATAGACACGGGAGTAAAAATAGCTGACGTTTTGAAATAGAATGCTGAAATGGCAATTGAAAGTTGATATAGACACGGGGATTAAAATAGCCTCACGTTTGAAACGAATGCTGAAATGGCAACGGAAGGATAGACACGGGATATAGACGTTTGAAACGACGGAATGGCGACAAAATTGCCTCACGTTTGAAAAAACGAATGTTGAAATGGCGAGAAAGTTGATATAGACACGGGAGTAAAAATAGACCTCGAACGTTTGAAACACGGAGTAAAATAGCCTCACGTTTGAACGAATGCTGAAATGGCGACGGAAAGTTGATATAGACACGGGAGTTAAATAGCCTCGTTTTGAAACGAATTGAAAATGGCGACGGAAAGTTGATGACACGGGGTAAATAGCTCATTTGAAACGGCTGAAATGGCGACGAAACTTGATATAGACACGGGAGTAAAATAGCATCACGTTTGAAACGAATGTTGAAAATGGCGATGGGAAAGTTGATATAGACACGGGAGCAAAATAGCCTCACGTTTGAAACGAATGCTGAAATGGCGACGGAAAGTTGATATAGACACGGGAGTAAATAGCATCACGTTTTGAAATAGATGCTGAAATGGCGACGGAAAGTTGATATAGACACGGGAGCAAAAATAGCCTCACGTTTGAAATAGATGCTGAAATGGCAACGGAAAGTTGATATGGACACGGGAGTAAAATAGCTCACGTTTGAAACGAATGCGGGACGGAAAGTTGATATGAACACGGGAGTAAAATAGCCACGTTTGAAAACGAATGCTGAAATGGCAACGGAAAGTTGATACGACACGGGAGTAAAATAGCCTCACGTTTGAAACAGAATGCTGAAATGGCGACGGAAAGTTGATATAGAACACAAAATAGCCTCACGTTTAAAACGAATGCCGAAATGGCAACGTTTGATAAGCAATAAAATAGCCGAATGCCGAAACAGACGGAAAGTTGATATAGACACGGGAGTGAAAATAGCCTCCGTTTGAAAGTACGCTGAAATGGCGACGGAAAGTTGATATAGACACGGGAGTAAAATAGCATCACGTTTGAAAACGAATGCTGAAATGGAGACGGAAAGTTGATAGACACGGGGAGTAAAAATAGCCTCACTTTTGAAAACAGATGCTGAAATGGCAACGGAAAGTTGATATAGACACGGGAGTAAAATAGCCCTCACGTTTGAAATGAATGCTGAAATGGCGATGGAAAGTTGAGATATAGACACGGGAGTAAATAGCCTCACGTTTGAAACGAATGCTGAAATGGCAACGGAAAGTTGATATAGACACGGAGTAAAATAGCCTCACGTTTGAAAACGAATGCTGAAATGGCGACGGAAAGTTGATATAGACACGGGAGTAAAATAGCCTCACGTTTGAAACGAATTGAAATGAAAGACACGGGAGTAAAATAGCCGACGTTTGCATCGCCGAAATGGCGACGGAAAGTTGATATGAACACCGGGAGTAAATAGCCTCACGTTTGAAAAATGCTGTAATGGCGACGAAAGTTGGACACGGAGCAAATAAGCCTCACGTTGAAACGAATGCTGAAATGGCAACGGAAAGTTGGGAGTAAAATAGCCTCACGTTTGAAAACGAATGCGCAGGGAATATGGCGACGGAAAATTGATATAGACACGGGAGTAAAAATAGCCCTCCACGTTTGAAACGAATGCTGAAATGGCAACGGAAAGTTGATATAGACACGGGAGTAAAATAGCATCACGTTTGAAACGAATGCTGAAATGGCGACGGAAAGTTGATATAGACACGGGAGTAAAATAGCCTCACGTTTGAAACGAATGCTGAAATGGCAACGAAAGTTGATATAGACACGGGAGTAAAATAGCCTCACGTTTGAAAACGAATGCTGAAATGGCGACGGAAAGTTGATATAGACACGGGAGTAAAATAGCCTCACGTTTGAAAAAGCAATGCTGAAATGGCAACGGAAAGTTGATATAGACACGGAGTAAAAATAGCCTCACGTTTGAAAAGAATGCTGAAATGGCGACGGAAAGTTAGACACGGGAGTAAAATATAGACACAGGGAGAAAAATAGACCTCACGTTTGAAAAACGAATGCTGAAATGGCGACGGAAAGTTGATATAGACACGGGGAGTAAAATAGCCTCACGTTTGAAACAGAATGATGAAATGGCGACGGAAAGTTGATATAGACACGGGAGCAAAATAGCCTCGTTTGAAACGAATGCTGAAAAGGCAACGGAAAGTTGATAGACACGGGACAGCCTCACGTTTGAAATATTGACACGGGACGGGAGCAAAATAGCCTCACGTTTGAATCGAATGCTGAAATGGCAACGAAATGGCAACGGAGTAAAAAGCCTCACGTTTGGAAACGAATATGGCAACGGAAACGATATAGACACGGGAGTAAAATAGCCTCGTTTGAAACGAATGCTGAAATGGCGACAGGAAAAGTTGATATAGACACGGGAGTAAAATAGCCTCACGTTTGAAATGAATGCTGAAATGGCAAACGGAAATGGCGACGGAGTAAACAGATCCCGTTTGAAACGAATGCCGAAATGGAGACGGATATGAACACGGGAGTAAAATAGCCTCACGTTTGAAAGGAATGCTGAAATGGCAACGGAAAGTTGATATAGACACGGGAGTAAAATAGCATCACGTTTGAAACGAATGCTGAAATGGCGACGGAAAGTTGATATAGACACGGGAGTAAATAGCCTCACGTTTGAAACGAATGCTGAAATGGCAACGGAAAGTTGATATAGACACGGAGTAAAATAGCCTCACGTTTGAAACGAATGCTGAAAATGGCGGAAAGTTGATATAGACACGGGAGTAAAATAGCCTCACGTTTGAAACGAATGCTGAAATGGCAACGGAAAGTTGATATAGACACGGAGTAAAATAGCCTCACGTTTGAAACGAATGCTGAAATGGCGACGGAAAGTTGATATGGACACGGGAGTAAAATAGCCTCACGTTTGAAACGAATGCTGTAATGGCGACGGAAAATTTGATATAGACGGGGAGTAAAATAGCCTCACGTTTGAAACGAATGCTGAAATGGCAACGGAAAGTTGATATAGACACGGGGAGTAAAAATAGCCTCACGTTTGAAACGAATGCTGTAATGGCAACGGAAATTTGATATAGACACGGAGTAAAATAGCCTCCCGTTTGAAAAAACGAATGCTGAAATGGCGACGGAAAGTTGATATAGATACGGGAGTAAAATAGCCTCACGTTTGAAACGAATGCTGAAATGGCAACGGAAAGTTGATAGACACGGGAGTAAAATAGCCTCACGTTTGAAATATGCTGAAATGGCGAAGGAAAGTTGATATAGACACGGGGTTAAAATAGACGTTTGAAAAGATGCTGAAATGGACGAAAGTTGGAGGAGTAAAATAGCCTCACGTTTGAAATAGAATGCTGAAATGGCGACGGAAAGTTGATATAGACACGGGAGTAAAATAGCATCACGTTTGAAAAGAATGCCGAAATGGCGACGGAAAAATTGATATAGACGGGAGTAAAAATAGCCTCACGTTTGAAACGAATGCAGAAATGGCGACGAAACGATATGAACGGGAGTAAAAAGCATCACGTTTGAAACGAATGCTGAAATGGCGACGAAAATTGATATAGACACGGGAGTAAATAACCTCACGTTTGAAATAGATGCTGAAATGGCGACGGAAAGTTGATATAGACACGGGGAGTAAAATAGCATCACGTTTGAAACGAATGCTGAAAATGGCGACGGAAAAGTTGATATAGACACGGAGCCAGGCTCAGGTTTGAAAAATGGAAATGGCCGAACGTTTGAAATAGATGTTTGAAATGGCAATGGCAACGAAATTTGATATAGACACGGGAGTAAAATAGGCTCACGTTTTGAAACGAATGCTGAAATGGCGACGGAAAGTTGATATAGTACGGGATAAAATAGGCTCACGTTTGAAAACGAATGCTGAAATGGCAACGAAAGTTGATATAGACACGGGAGTAAAATAGCCTCCGAAACGAATGCTGAAATGGCGACGGAAAGTTGATATAGACACGGGAGTAAAATAGCTTCACTTTTGAAACGAATGCTGAAATGGCGACGGAAAGTTGATATAGACACGGGAGTAAATTGAGCCTCACGTTTGAAACGAATGCTGAAATGGCAAATGAGGGTTGATATAGACACGGAGTAAAAATAACCTCACGTTTGAAACGAATGCTGAAATGGCGATGGGAAAGTTGATATAGACACGGGAGTAAAATAGCCTCACGTTTGAAAACGAATGCCGAAAATAGATGCTAAAAATAGGCGACGGAAAGTTGATATAGACACGGAGTAAAATTAGCCTCACGTTTGAAACGAATGCTGAAATGGCGACGGAAAGTTGATATAGACATCGGGATAAAAATAGCCTCACGTTTGAAACGAATGCTGAAATGGCGACGGAAATTTGATATGACATTGGGAGTAAAATAGCCTCACGTTTGAAAACGAATGCTGAAATGGCGATGGAAAGTTGATATAGACACGGGAGTAAAAATAGCCTCACGTTTGAAACGAATGCTGAAATGGAAACGGAAAGCGTTGATATAGACACGGAAAACGAATGCTGAAAATAGCCGGAACGTTTATAGAACGTGGGGAGTAAATGCCCACGTTTGAAACGAATGCTGAAATGGCGACGGAAAGTTGATATAGACACGACGTAAAAAGCCTCACGTTTGAAACGAATGCTGAAAATGGCACGGAAATTTGATATAGACGGGAGTAAAGTAGCCTCACGTTTGAAACGAATGCTGAAATGGCAACGGAAAGTTGATATAGACACGGGAGTAAGAAATAGCCTCACGTTTGAAACGTATGCTGAAATGGCAACGGAAAGTTGATATAGACACGGGAGTAAAATAGCCTCTACGTTTGAAACGAATGCTGAAATGGCGACGGAAAGTTGATATAGACACGGGAGTAAAATAGCCTCACGTTTGAAACGAATGCTGAAATGGCGACTGGGAAAATAGCCTCACGTTTGAAACGAATGCTGAAATGGAAAGTTGATATAGACACGGGAGTAAAATAGCCTCACGTTTGAAACGAATGCTGAAATGGCGACGGAAAGTTGATATAGACACGGGAGTAAAATAGCCTCACGTTTGAAACGAATGCTGAAATGGCAACGGAAAGTTGATATAGACACGGGAGTAAAAATAGCCTCACGTTTGAAAAACGAATGCTGAAAATTTGATATAGACACGGAGTAAAAATAACTCACGTTTGAAACGAATGCTGAAATGGCGACGGAAAGTTGATATAGACACAGGAGTAAAATAGCCTCACGTTTGAAACGAATGCTGAAATGGCAACGGAAAGTTGATATAGACACGGGAGTAAAATAGCCTCACGTTTGAAACGAATGCTGAAATGGCGACGGAAAGTTGATATAGACACGGAGCAAAATAGCCTCACGTTTGAAACGAATGCTGAAATGGCAACGGAAAGTTGATATAGACACGGAGTAAAATAGCCTCATGTTGAAACGAATGCTGAAATGGCAACGGAAAGTTGATATAGACACGGGAGTAAAAAGCCTCACGTTTGAAAACGAATGCTGAAATGGCAACGGAAAGTTGATATAGACACGGGAGTAAAATAGCCTCACGTTTGAAACGAATGCTGAAATGGCAACGGAAAGTTGATATAGACACGGGAGTAAAATAGCCTCACGTTTGAAACGAATGCTGAAATGGCAACGGAAAGTTGATATAGACACGGGGGTAAAATAACCTTGAAACGTTTGAAAACGAATGCTGATAGACATTTGGGAGCAAACGGAAAGTTGATATAGACACGGGAGTAAAATAGCCATCCCGTTTGAAACGAATGCTGAAATGGCAACGGAAAGTTGATATAGACACGGGAGTAAAATAGCCTCATTTGAAACGAATGCTGAAATGGCAACGGAAAGTTGATATAGACACGGGAGTAAAATAGCCTCACGTTTTGAAACGAATGCTGAAATGGCGACGGAAAGTTGATATAGGAATGGGAGTAAAATAGCCTCACGTTTTGAAACGAATGCTGAAATGGGCAACGGGATTGATATAGACACGGGAGTAAAATAGCCCTCACGTTTGAAACGAATGCTGAAATGGCAACGGAAAGTTGAGGCAGACGGGAGTAAAATAGCCTCACGTTTGAAAACGAATGCTGAAATGGCAACGGAAAGTTGATATAGACACGGGAGTAAAATAGCCTCACGTTTGAAAAACGAATGCTGAAATGGCGATGGAAAGTTGATATAGACACGGGGAGTAAAATAGCCTGACGTTTGAAAAACGAATGCTGAAATGGCGACGGAAAGTTGATATAGACACGGGAGTAAAAATAGCCTCACGTTTGAAAACGAATGCCGAAATGGCGACGGAAAGTTGATATAGACACGGGAGTAAAATAGCCTCACGTTTGAAAACGAATGCTGAAAATGGCGACGGAAAGTTGATATAGACGGGAGTAAAATAGCCCACGTTTGAAACGAATGCTGAAATGGCGACGGAAAGTTGATATAGACACGTTTGAAACGAATGCCGAAAAAAATAAGACCTCACGTTTGAAAAACGAATGCTGAAATGGCAACGGAAATTTGATATAGACACGGGAGTAAAATAGCCTCACGTTTGAAAACGAATGCTGAAATGGCAACGGAAAGTTGATATAGACACGGGAGTAAAATAGCCTCACGTTTGAAACGAATGCTGAAATGGCAACGGAAAGTTGATATAGACACGGGAGTAAAATAGCCTCACGTTTGAAAACGAATGCTGAAATGGCGACGGAAAGTTGATATAGACACGGAGTAAAATAGCCTCACGTTTGAAACGAATGCTGAAATGGCGACGGAAAGTTGATATAGACACGGGAGTAAAATAGCCTCACGTTTGAAACGAATGCTGAAATGGCAACGGAAAGTTGATATAGACGGGAGTAAAAATAGCCTCACGTTTGAAACGAATGCTGAAATGGCAACGAGAAGTTTGATATAGACTGACACGGGAGTAAAATAGCCTCACGTTTGAAACGAATGCTGAAATGGCGACGGAAAGTTGATATAGACACGGGAGTAAAATAGCCTCACGTTTGAAACGAATGCTGAAATGGCAACAGAAAGTTGATATAGACACGGGAGTAAAATAGCCTCACGTTTGAAACAGATGCTGAAATGGCGACGGAAAGTTGATATAGACACGGGAGTAAAATAGCCTCACGTTTGAAACGAATGCTGAAATGGCAACGGAAAGTTGATATAGACACGGGAGTAAAATAGCATCCCGTTTGAAACGAATGCTGAAATGGAGACGGAAAATAGCCTCACGTTTGAAACGAATGCTGAAATGGCGACGGAAAGTTGATATAGACACGGGAGTAAAATAGCCTCACGTTTTGAAAACGAATGCTGAAAATGGCTGAAATGGCAACGGAAAGTTGATATAGACACGGAGTAAAATAGCCTCACGTTTGGAACTGAATGCTGAAATGGCGACGGAAAGTTGATATGACACAGGAGTAAAATAGCCTCACGTTTGAAACGAATGCTGAAATGGCAACGGAAAGTTGATATAGACACGGAGTAAAATAGCCTCGTTTGAAACGAATGCTGAAATGGCGACGGAAAGTTGATATAGACACAGGAGCAAAATAGCCTCACGTTTGAAAACGAATGCTGAAAATGGCAACGGAAAGTTGATAGCAGACACGGGAGTAAAATAGCCTCACGTTTGAAAAACGAATGCTGAAATGGCAACGGAAAGTTGATATAGACACGGGAGTAAAATAGCCTCACGTTTGAAACGAATGCTGAAATGGCAACGGAAAGTTGATATAGACACGGGAGTAAAATAACCTCACGTTTGAAAAACGAATGCTGAAATGGCGACGAAAGTTGATATAGACACGGGAGTAAAATAGCCTCACGTTTGAAACGAATGCTGAAATGGCAACGGAAATTTGATATAGACACGGAGACACGGGAGTAAAATAGCCGGGAGTAAAATAGCTCACGTTTGAAAAGAATGCTGAAATGGCGACGGAAAGTTGATATATAGACACGGGAGTAAAATAGCCTCACGTTTGAAACGAATGCTGAAATGGCAACGGAAACTTGATATAGACACGGGAGTAAAAGCGCATCACGTTTGGAAACGAATGCCGAAATGGCAACGTTGATAAGAACGGGAGTAAAAATCACGTTTGAAACGAATGCAGAAATGGCGACGAAAGTTGATATAGACGGGAGTAAAATAATTTCCTCACGTTTGAAAACGAATGCTGAAATGGCAACGGAAACGGGTTGATATAGACACGGGGAGTAAAATAGCCTCACGTTTGAAACGAATGCTGAAATGGCAACGGAAAGTTGATATAGACACGGGAGTAAAATAGCCTCACGTTTGAAACGAATGCTGAAATGGCAACGAAAAGTTGATATAGACACGGGAGTAAAATAGCCTCACGTTTGAAACGAATGCTGAAATGGCGACGAAAAGTTGATATAGACACGGGGAGTAAAATAGCCTCACGTTTGAAACGAATGCTGAACTGGCAAAGGAAAGTTGATATAGACACGGGAGTAAAATAGCCTCACGTTTGAAACGAATGCTGAAATGGCAACGGAAAGTTGATATAGACACGGGAGTAAAATAGCCTCACGTTTGAAAACGAATGCTGAAATGGCGACGGAAAGTTGATATAGACACGGGAGTAAAATAAGCCTCACGTTTGAAAAACGAATACTGAAATGGCGATGGAAATTTGATATAGACACAGGAGTAAAATAGCCTCACGTTTGAAACGAATGCTGAAATGGCAACGGAAAGTTGATATAGACACGGGATAAAATAGCCTCACGTTTGAAACAGATGCTGAAATGGCAACGGAAAATTGATAGACACGGGGTAAAATAGCCTCACGTTTGAAACGAATGCTGAAATGGCAACGGAAAGTTGATATAGACACGGGAATAAAATAGCCTCACGTTTGAAACAGATGCTGAAATGGCAACGGAAAGTTGATATAGACACGGGAGTAAAATAGCCTCACGTGGAAATAGACGCTGAAATGGCCACGGAAGTTGATATAGACACGGGGTAAAATAGCCTTGTACGGAATTAGATGCTTCTATGACGACGGAAAGTTGATATAGACACGGGAGCAAAATAGCCTCGTTTGAAAACGAATGCTGAAATGGCAACGGAGGATTGATATAGACACGGGAGTAAAATAGCCTCACGTTTGAAACGAATGCTGAAATGGCAACGGAAAGTTGATATAGACACGGGAGTAAAATAGCCTCACGTTTGAAACGAATGCTGAAATGGCGACGGAGATTGATGCCAACACGGCAGTGAAATAACCTCACGTTTTGAAACGAATGCTGAAATGAGCGGAAAGTTGATATAGACACGGGAGTAAAATAAGCCTGACGTTTGAACGAATGCTGAAATGGCAACGGAAAATTGATATAGACACGGGGATGAAATAGCCTCATTTGAAACGAATGCTGAAATGGCAACGGAAGAAGTTGATATAGACACGGGGAGTAAAATAGCCTCACGTTTGAAACGAATGCTGAAATGGCAACCGGAAAGTTACGATATAGACACGGGATTAAAATAACCTCTCGTTTGAAACAGATGCTGAAATGGCGACGGAAAGTTGAGTATAGACACGGGTAAAAATAGCCTCACGTTTGAAACAGATGCTGAAATGGCAACGGAAAGTTGATATAGACACAGGGAGTAAAAATAGCCTCGTTTGAAAACGAATACACAAATGGCAACCGGAAGGATTGATTTAGACACGGGGAGTAAAATAGCCTCACGATTTTGCAAAACTGAAATGGCAGCAGAATGGCGATAAAATAGCCTCGTTTGAAATAGACACGGGAGTTTTATATAGAAATAGCCTCACGTTTAAAACGAATGCTGAAATGGCGATGGAAGGTAAGGTGATATAGCATCACAGGAGTAAATTGCCTGGAGGTTTTAAACTAAAATATGCTGAAATGGCAACGGAAAGTTGATATAGACACGTGAGCTAAAATAGCCTCACGTTTTGAAACAGATGATGCTGAAATGTGGCGGAGAGGTGATATAGACACAGGACTAAAATAGCCCGATCGTAATTTGAAACGAATGTTTGAAATGAATGCTGAAATGGGAATGTTGATATAGACACGTGATAAAATAGCCTCACATTTAAACAGATGCTGAAATGGCAACGGAGAGTAAATGACGTTTATAGAATGCATGGCGATGGGATATGAAATAGCCTTCACTTTTAAAACGAATGCTGCAATGGCGATGGGTGATATAAACACGGACTAAAATAGCCTTGTTTGGAAATAGATGCTGCAATGGCGGTGGAGGTGATATAGACACGTGACTAAAAATAGCCTCACGTTTGAAACGAATGCTGAAATGGCGATGGACGGAGACGCGTGACTAAAAATAGCATCACGTTTAAAAGAACAAAGGCGATGTAAAAAGGTAATATAAACACCTAAAATAGAATCGTATTTTGAAACAGATGCTGAAATAGCCATGGAAAGGTGATATGAACACGTATTTAAAATGGCCTCACGTTTGAAGTAGATGCTGCAATGGCGATGGAGAGAGTGATATAGACACGGGGTAAAAATAGCCTCACATTTAACACGAATGCTAAAATAATAGGAAGAGATTAATATAAACGGGAGTAAAAAGCCTCACGTTTGAAACAGATACTGAAATCGCGATGGAAGTTGATATAGACACGTGGCTAAAATAGCATCAGTTTTGGAAACGAATACTGAAATGGCGACGGAAAGTTGATATAGACACGGGACTAAAATAGCCTCACGTTTTGAAACGAATGCTGAAATGGCAACGGAGTTGGTATAGACGCGGACTAAAATAGCCTCACGTTTGAAACGAATGATGAAATGGCAATGGAGATGTAATATAGACACGTGATAAAATAGCACACTTGAAACGAATGCTAGTGGCGATGGAAAATAGCCACGTTTAGCATCAAGCAGAAACGAATGCTGAAATGGCGATGGAGGGTAATATGAACACGGGGTAAAATAGCCCTCGTTTGAAACCGAATGCTGAAATGGCGATGGAGAGGTAATATAGACACGTGATATAGCCCTCACGATTTGGGTAAAAATAGCCTCACGTTTAGCATCACGATTTAAAACGAATGCTGAAATTGCAACGGAAAGTTAATATAGACACGTGACTAAAATAGCCTCACGTTTGAAACGAATGCTGAAATAGCCTCACATTTGAAACGGAAATGGATAAAATTGATATAGACACGGGAGTAAAATAGCCTCACGTTTGAAACGAATGCTGCAATGGCGATGGACTAAAATAACCTCCGTTTGATAAATGCTACAATGGCGAGGGAGGTAATATGAACACGGCTAAAATAGCACCACGTTTGAAACGAATGCTGAAATGGCGATGGAGAGGTGATGTGAATTTGACTAAAATAGCCTCACGTTTTAAACGAATGCTGAAATGGCAACGGAAAGTTGATATAGACACGGAGTAAAATAACCTCACGTTTGAAACAGATGCTTCAATGGCGGTGGGAGGGGATATATGAACACGTGACTAAAATAAGCCTCACGTTTGAAAAATGCTGCAATGGCTGAAATGTAGACACGTGGATAAAATAGCCTCGTTTTAAATATGCTGAAATGGCGATGGAGGTAAAACTAAAATCACATTTGGAACGAATGCTGCAATGGCAACGGAGAGGTAATATGGACACAGGACTAAAATAGCCTTGTACTTGAAAAATGCTGAAATGGCTGAGGTGATATGGCTAAAATAAGCCATGGAAAGACGTGATAATATGAGCACGTGACTAAAATAGCCTCACGTTTGCAAATAGATACTGAAATGGCGATGGAGAGGTGATATAGACACAGGGAGTAAAATAGCCTTTACGTTTGAAATAGATGCTGAAATGGCGATGGAAGGTGGTGATACTAAGACGCAGAACGAATGCTAAAATGGCGATGGAGCCTTGTACATTGACTAAAATAGCATCAAAAACGAATGCTGCAATGGCGATGGGACGATATGACACACGTGACTAAAATAGCCTTGTACTTGAAATAGATGCTGCAATGGCGATTGAGAGGTAATATAGACACAGGATTAAAATAGATCTCACGTTTGAAATAGATGCTGCTATGGCGACGGAGACGGTGAAAATAACCTCGTTTGAAAGGAATGCTGCAACAGGAGGTAAAAATTGCCTAAAATAGCACGTTTTAAAACGAATGCTGCTATGGCGATGTAAAGTTAATATAAACACGTATTCAAAATAGCCTTTGAAACGAAATTGAAATGGCGAATGGCGACGGACGTGACTAAAAATACACGGGGTTAAATAGACAGCCTTGATTTGAAATAGATATGCTGCAATCAGGATGGAGAGGTAATATATGAACACGTGACTAAAATAGCCTCACGTTTGAAACAGATGTTGCAATGGCGATGGAGAGGTGATATAGTCACGGGACTAAAATATTGTCCGTTTGAAAAATGAATGCTGAAATGTGATATAGACATGGAGGTGATATAAACAGGTCTGCAATGGTGAAGGTAAAATAGCCTAAAATAGCATCACCTTGAAATAGATGCTGAAATAGCGATGGAGAGGTGAGGGGTTACTCTAAAATGATTTACAGACAATGGCGGGAGTAAAAAATAGCCTCACGTTTGAAACGAATACTGAAATGGCGATGGAAGGTGATATAGACACGGGAGTAAAATAGCCTCATTTGAAACGAATTCTGCAATGGCGAAATAATATGACACGTGTCTAAAATAGGCGATGTTGAACAGATACTGCAATGGCGAGGAGAGGTAATATAGACACGGAATTAAAAAATAGCCTCACGTTTGAAATAGATGCTGCAATGGCGATGGATGGAGACACGTGGCTGAAATATAGACAAACAATGGCGATGTAACGGTAAATAGCCTAAAACGTCCAGGAAATAAATGGCTGAAATGGAGCGTATTAAAATAGCATCAGGCGGCAAAAGGTGGATATAGACACGGGAGTAAAATTGCCTCACGTTTGAAACAGATGCTGCTATGGCCTCACGTTTAGAGCAGATGCTGAAATGGCGATTGATATAGACACGGGACTAAAATAGCAGCACACTTTGAAATAGATGTTGAAATGGGGATGGTAAGATTGACTAAATACGTTTGAAACACTGCAATGGCGAAAATAGCCTAGACACGTACTAAAATAAATGGAAACAGATGCTGCAATGGCGATGGAGGTGTGATATAGACACGGGAGTAAAATAACCTCACGTTTAAAACGAATGCTGAAATGGCGACGGAAATTTAAACACGATATAGACACGGGGTAAAAAAATGCCTCAGGTTTAGAACGTGACTAAAAATGCTGAAATGGCGACGGAAAGAGATTAATATAGACACGGGGACTAAAATAGCCTCACGTTTGAAACGAATACTGAAATGGCAACGGAAGATTGATATACGAGCACGAGATGAATAGCCTCACGTTTGAAACAGATGCTGAAATGGCAACGGAAAGTTGATATAGACGCAGAATACAAAATAGCCTCACGTTTGGAAACGAATGCTGAAATGGCGACGGAAAGTTGATATAGACACGGAGATGTAAAATAGCCTCACGTTTGAAACAGATGCTGAAATGGCGATGGAGAGTTGATATAGACACGGGATGCAAATAGCCTGTACGTTGAAATAGATGCTGAAATGGCGATGGAGAGGTGATATAGACACGGGAGTAAAATAACCTGCGTTTTAAATAGATGCTGAAATGGCGAGTTGGAGAGGTAAATATAGACGTTGAAACGAATAAAATAGCCAGAGAGTTAGATGTACTTGAAAATAGACGTTTGAAACGGCGATGGAGAGGTTGATATAGACACGGGAGTAAAATAGCCTTGGTACTTGGAAATAGAATGCTGCAATGGAGCGGAGAGGTGAATATAGACACGGGAGTAAAATAGCCTTGTTTGAAATAGAATGCTGAAATATGATGGAAAGTTGATATAGACACGGGAGTAAAATAGCCTTGTATTTGAAATAGATGATGAAACGGCGATGGAAAGTTGATATAGACACGGGAGTAAAATAGCCTGTACTTGAAATAGATGCTGAAATGGCGACGGAGAGTTGATATAGACACGGGAGTAAAATAGCCTCACACGTTTGAAAAAGATGCTGCAATGGCGACGGATAGTTGATATAGACACGGGGAGTAAAAATAGCCTCACGTTTAAAATAGATGCTGAAAATGGCAATGAGAGTTGATATAGACACGGGAGTAAAATAACCTCACGTTTAAATAGATGCTGAAATGCGATGGAGAGGTGATAGACACGAGATAAAATAGCCTCACGTTTGAAATAGATGCTGCAATGGCGATGGAGGTGATAGACACGGGAGTAAAATAGCCTCACGTTTGGAATGCTTGAAATGGCGAATGCTGCAATGGCGATGGAGAGGATTGATAAAGACACGGGAGTAAAATAGCCTCACGTTTGGAAACAGATGCTTCAATGGCGGTGGAGGTGATATAGACACGGGAGTAAAATAGCCTCACGTTTGAAATAGATGCTGAAATGGCGATGAAAGGTTGATTTTGAAATGGCAGTTGATATGGAATAGCCTAAAAACGTTTGGAAATAGATGCTGAAATGGCGATGGAGGGTGATATAGACACGGGCAAAATAGCCTCACGTTTGAAATAGATGCTGCAATGGCGATGGAGAGGTGATATAGACACGGGAGCAAAATAGCCCACGTTTGAAACGAATGCTGCAATGGCGATGGGAAGGTGATATAGATTACGGGAGCAAAATAGCCTCACGTTTGAAATAGATGCTGCAATGGCGATGGAGAGATGATATAGACACGGGAGTAAAATAGCCTTTGTACTTGAAATAGATGCTGCAATGACGATGGAAAGTTGATATAGACACGGGATTAAAAAATAGCCTCACTTTTGAAATAGATGCTGAAATGGCGATGGAGAGGTGATATAGACACGGGAGTAAAATAGCCTCACGTTGAAAAAGATGCTGCAATGGCGATGGAGAGTTGATAGACACGGAGTAAAATAGCCTCACGTTTGAAACGAATGCTGAAATGGATGGAGAGTTGATAGACACGGTTGCTATCAGGAAAATAGCCTTGTACTTGAAATAGATGCTGAAATGATATAGTCTGGGGATTAAAAAATAGCCTTGTATTTGAAATAATAGATGCTGCAATGGCGATGGAGGTGATATAGACACATGAAATAGATGCAAAATGGCGATGGAGAGGTGATATAGACACGGGAGTAAAATAGCCTCACGTTTGAAATAGATGCTGAAATGGCGATGGAGAGGATATAGACACGGGGAAAATATAATGGCGATGGAGCGTTTGACGGGGTAAAATGCTGCAATGGCGATGGAAAGGTGATATAGACACGGAGTAAAATAGCCTTGTACTTGAAATAGATGCTGCAATGGCGATGGAGGTGATATAGACACGGGAGCAAATAGCCTCACGTTTGAAATAGATGCTGAATGGCGAAAGGGTGATATAGACACAGGGATAAAAACGCCTTGTACTTGAAATAAGATGCTGCAATGGCGATGGAGGGTGATATAGACACGGGAGTAAAAAAATGGCCTTGTACTTAAAATAGATGCTGCAATGGCAATGGAAAGGTGATATAGACACGGGAGTAAAATAGCCTTGCGTTTGAAAACGAATGCTGAAATGGCGATGGAAATTTGATATAGACACGGGAGTAAAATAGCCTTGTACGTTTGAAACGAATGCTGAAAATGGCGACGGAAAGGTGATATAGACACGGGAGTAAAAATAGCCTCACGTTTGAAAACGAATGCTGAAATGGCGATGAGAGGTGATAGACACGGGAGTAAAATAGCCTCACGTTTGAAATAGAATGCTGAAATGGCAATGGAAAGTTGATATAGACACGGAGTAAAAAGCCCCGTTTGAAACGAATGCTGAAATGGCGATGGAAAATTGATATAGACACGAGGGTAAAATAGCCTCACGTTTGAAATAGATGCTGAAATGGCGACGGAAAGTTGACAGACTCGGGAGTAAAATAGCCTCACGCCTTGAAATAGATGCTGAAATGGCGATGGAATGTTGATATAGACACGGGAGTAAAAATAGCCTCGTTTGAAATAGATGCTGAAATGGCAACGGAAAGATTGATAGACACGGGAGTAAAATAGCCTCACGTTTGAAATAGATGCTGAAATGGCAATGGAAAGGTGATATAGACACGGGAGTAAAATAGCCCTCACGTTTTGAAACGAATGCTGAAATGGCGACGGAAAGTTGATATAGACACGGGACTAAATAGCCTCACGTTTGAAATAGATGCTGAAATGGCGACGGAAAGTTGATATAGAACTTGGACCAAAATAGCCTGACGTTTGAAAATAGATGCTGCAATGGCGATGGAAAGTTGATATAGACACGGGAGTAAAATAGCCTCACGTTTGAAATAGATGCTGAAATGGCGATGGAGGATTGATATAGACACGGGAGCAAAATAGCCTCACGTTTGAAATAGAATGCTGAAATGGCGACGGAAAGGTGATATAGACACGGGATAAAAATAGCCTTGTTTGAAATAGATGCTGAAATGGCGACGGAAAGTTGATATAGACACGGGAGTAAAATAGCCTCACGTTTGAAACGAATGCTGAAATGGCGACGAAAGTTGATATAGACACGGAGTAAAAATAGCCTTGTACTTGAAATAGATGCTGAAATGGCAATGGAAGGTGATATAGACGGGAGTAAAACAGCCTTGTATTTGAAATAGATGCTGAAATGGCGACGGAGAGGTGATATAGACACGGGACTAAAATAGATGCTGCTATAGGTGAAATAGATAAAAATGTTTGAAACGAATGCTGAAATGGCAACGGAAAGGTGATATAGACACGGGAGTAAAAATATCCTCACGTTTTGAAAAGAATGCTGAAATGGCGACGGAAAGTTGTTATAGACACGGGAGTAAAATAGCCTCACGTTTGAAACGAATGCTGAATGGCGACGGAAAGTTGATATAGACATGGGGTAAAAATAGCCTCACGTTTGAAACGAATGCTGAAATGGCAACGGAAAGTTGATATAGACACGGGAGTAAATAGCCTCACGTTTGAAACGAATGCCGAAATGGCGACGGAAAGTTGATATAGACACGGGGAGTAAAATAACCACGTTTGAACAGAATGCTGAAATGGCGAGGGAAAGGTGATATAGACACGGGAGTAAAATAGCCTCGTTTGAAAACGAATGCTGAAATGAAATGGGACGGAAATGTTGATATAGACACGGAGTAAAATAGCCTTGTTTGAAAACGAATGCTGAAAATGGCGATGGAAAGGTGATATACGGGGTAAAACAGGGAGAAAAACAGACACTCACGTTTGAAACGAATGCTGAAATGGCAATGGAGAGTTGATATAGACACGGGAGTAAAATAGCCTCACGTACTTGAAACGAATGCTGAAATGGCGGTGGAAGGTTGATATAGACACGGGAGTAAAATAGCCTCACGTTTGAAAGCGAATGCTGCAATGGCAACGGAAAGATTGATATAGACACGGGGTAAAATAACCTCCGTTTGAAACGATGCTGAAATGGCGATGGAAAGGTGATATAGACACGGGAGTAAAAATAGCCTTTGTACGTTTGAACGAATGCTGAAATGGCGACGGAGAGTTGAGGCAGACACGGGGTAAAATAGCCTCACGTTTGAAACGAATGCCGAAATGGCGACGGAAAGTTGATATAGACACGGGAGCAAATAGCCTTCACGTTTGAAACGAATGCTGAAATGGACAATGGCGATGGAGAGCCTCACGTTTGAAAAATGTGATATAGACACGGGAGTAAAATAGCCTCACGTTTGAAACGAATGCTGAAATGGCGATGGAAAGTTGATAACAGCAGACACGGAGTAAACGCAGAGATGCAAATAGCCTCACGTTTGAAAACGAATGCTGAAATGGCAACGGAAACTTGATATAGACACGGAGTAAAATAGCCTCACTTTTGAAACGAATGCTGAAAATGGCGACGGAAAGTTGATATAGACAGACACGGGAGCTAAAATAGACACCTAAAATAGCCTCGTTTGAAAACGAATGCTGAAATGGCAACGGAAATTTGATATAGACACGGGGAGTAAAATAGCCTCACGTTTGAAATAGATGCTGAAAACGAGTTGATATAGACACGGGGTAAAATAGCCTCACGTTTGAAATAGATGCTGAAATGGCGATGGAGAGTTGATATAGACACGGAGTAAAATAGCCTCACGTTTGAAACGAATGCTGAAATGGCGACGGAAAGTTGATATAGACACGGAGTAAAATAATACAACGTTTGAAACGAATGCTGAAATGGCGACGGAAAGTTGATATAGACACGGAGTAAAATAGCCTCCGTTTGAAACGAATGCTGAAATGGCAACGGAAAGTTGATATAGACACGGGATAAAATAGCTTTCACGTTTGAAACGAATGCTGAAATGGCAACGGAAAGTTGATATGACACGGGAGTAAAATAGCCTCACGTTTGAAAAGAATGCTGAAATGGCGACGGAAAGTTGATATAGACACGGGAGTAAAAATAGCCTCACGTTTGAAACGAATGCTGAAATGGCGACGGAAAGTTGATATGACACGGAGTAAAAATAGCTCACGTTTGAAACGAATGCTGAAATGGCAACGAAAGTTGATAGACACGGGAGTAAAATAGCCTCACGTTTGAAACGAATGCTGAAATGGCGACGGAAAGTTGATATAGACACGGGAGTAAAATAGCCTCACGTTTGAAACGAATGCTGAAATGGCGACGGAAAGTTGATATAGACACGGGAGCAAAATAGCCTCACGTTTGAAACGAATGCTGAAATGGCAATGGAAAGTTGATATAGACACGGGAGCAAAATAGCCTCACGTTTGAAACGAATGCTGAAAATGGCAACGAAAGTTGATATAGATGGAGCCTCACGTTTGAAACGAATGCTGAAATGGCGACGGAAATAGACACGGGAGTAAAAAATACGTTTGAAACGAATGCTGAAATGGCGACGGAAAGTTGATATAGACACGGGATAAAATAGCCTCGTTTGAAACGAATGCTGAAAATGGCAACGGAAAGTTAACCTCATAGATGCTGGGGGAGTAAAATAGCTCTCACGTTTGAAACGAATGCTGAAATGGCAACGGAAAGTTGATATAGACACGGAGTGGCAAATAGCCTCACGTTTGGAAACGAATGCTGAAATGGCAACGGAAAGTTGATATAGACACGGGAGTAAATAGCCTCACGTTTGAAACGAATGCTGAAATGGCGACGGAAAGTTGATATAGACACGGGAGTAAAATAGCCTCACGTTTGAAACGAATGCTGAAATGGCGATGGAAAGTTGATATAGACACGGGAGTAAAATAGAATCCGTTTGAAACGAATGCTGAAATGGCGATGGGAGTTGATATAGACACGGGAGTAAAATAGCCTCACGTTTGAAACGAATGCTGAAATGGAACGGAAAGTTGATATAGACACGGGGTAAAATAGCCTCACGTTTAAAACCGAATGAATGAAATGGCGACGGAAAGTTGATATAGACACGGAGTAAAATAGCCTCACGTTTGAAACGAATGCTGAAATGGCGACGGAAAGTTGATATAGACACGTGAGTAAAATAAAATCGTTTGAAACGAATGCTGAAATGGAAACGGAAAGTTGATATAGACACGGGAGTAAAATAGCCTCACGTTTGAAACGAATGCTGAAATGGCGAAGGAAAGTTGATATAGACACGGGAGTAAAATAGCCTCACGTTTGAAACGAATGCTGAAATGGAGACGGAAAGTTGATATAGACACGGGAAAATAATCACGTTTGAAACGAATGCTGTTTGATATGAACGGGAGTAAAACCTCACGTTTGAAATGGCGATGGCGACGGAAAGTTGATATAGACATGGAGTAAAAAATGAAACGAAGCTGAAATCACGTTTGAAATGAATGCTGAAATGGAAAACGGAAAGTTGATATAGACAGTAAAATAGCCTCACGTTTGAAACGAATGCAGAAATGGCGACGGAAAGTTGATATAGACACACGGAGTAAAATAGCCCTCACGTTTGGAAATGAATGCTGGAAATGGCGATGGAAAGTAAAATATAGACACGTTGACTGAAAGTAAAAGAAATTTGATAGACACGGGAGTAAAATAGCCTCACGTTTGAAATGAATGCTGAAATGGCAACGGAAAGTTGATATAGACACGGAGTAAAATAGCCTCACGTTTGAAACGAATGCTGAAATGGCGACGGAAAGTTGATATAGACACGGGAGTAAAATAACCTCACGTTTGAAAACGAATGCTGAAATGGCAACGGAAAGTTGATATAGACACGGGAGTAAAATAGCCTCACGTTTGAAACGAATGCTGAAATGGCAACGGAAAGTTGATATAGACACGGGAGTAAAATAGCCTCACGTTTGAAACGAATGCTGAAATGGCGACGGAAAGTTGATATAGACACGGGAGTAAAATAGCCTCACGTTTGAAACGAATGCTGAAATGGCAACGGAAAGTTGATATAGACACGGGAGTAAAATAGCCTCACGTTTGAAACGAATGCTGAAATGGCGACGGAAAGTTGATATAGACACGGGAGTAAAATAGCCTCCGTTTTGGAAACGAATGCTGAAAATGGCGACGGAAAGGTGATAGACACGGGAGTAAAATAGCCTCACGTTTGAAACGAATGCTGAAATGGCAACGGAAAGTTGATATAGACACGGAGTAAAATAGCCTCACGTTTGAAACGAATGCTGAAATGGCGACGGAAAGTTGATATAGACACGGGAGTAAAATAGCCTCACGTTTGAAACGAATGCTGAAATGGCGACGGAAAGTTGATATAGACACGGGAGTAAAATAGCCTCACGTTTGAAACGAATGCTGAAATGGCAACGTAAAAGTTGATATAGACACGGGGTAAAATAGCCTCACGTTTTGAAATGCTGAAATGCTGAAATAAAGATGGCAACGGAAAGATTAAAATAGACAACGGATGCTAAATAGCATCACGTTTGAAACGAATGCTGAAATGGAAATGGCAACGGAAGTTGATATAGACACGGGATGTAAAATAGCCTCACGTTTGAAACGAATGCTGAAATGGCAAACGGAAAGGTGATATAGACACGGAGTAAAAATAGCTCACGTTTGAAACGAATGCTGAAATGGCGACGTACGGATATAAAGGGAGTAAAATAGCCTCACGTTTGAAACGAATGCTGAAAATGGCGGAAGTAAACACGGGGCTAAATGGCCTCACGTTTGAAACGAATGCTGAAATGGCGACGGAAAGTTGATATAGACACGTGAATAAAATAGCCTCGTTTGAAACGAATGCTGAAATGGCAACGGAAGGATATAGACACGGGACTAAAATAGCCTCACGTTTGAAACGAATGCTGAAATGGCGACGGAAAGTTGATATAGACACGGGACTAAAATAGCCTCACGTTTGAAAACGAATGCTGAAATGGCGACGGAGAAAGTTGATATAGACACGAAAAAAATAGCCTCACGTTTGAAACGAATGCTGAAATGGCGACGGAAAGTTGATATAGACACGGGATAAAATAGAATCACGTTTGAAACGAATGCTGAAATGGCGACGGAGAGGATATAGACACGGGAGTAAAATAGCTGAAATGGCACGTTTGAAACGAATGCTGAAAATGGCGATGGAAAGTTGATATAGACACGGGAGTAAAATAGCCTCACGTTTGAAAAATGCTGAAAATGCTGAAAGTTGATATTGACACGGGGTAAAATGACCTCACGTTTGAATCGAATGCTGGCGATGGAAAGTTGATATAGACACGGGAGTAAAAAATAGCCTCACGTTTGAAACGAATGCTGAAATGGCAACGGAAAGGTGATATAGACATGCTGAAATGGCGGGAGTGATATAACACGGGAGTAAAATAGCCACGTTTGAAACGAATGCTGAAATTGATATGAAAGTGCGTTTG